TAGTTATTTTTTTTTAAAAAATAGTTGTTTAAAAATAAAATTCAATAGAATATTTGTAATTTTTTTGAGGGAAATGTTATTATTTTTATAATTTAAAAAAATTATTAAGATATACTGTATATTACACAGTATAAACATGTTTAGTATATACTGTATAGACAAACGTGATGTTTGTAAATGACTTTTGTGTGTTTCAATAGTCAAACTGATGTGTGATATCGACCTATTGGATGAACGGATGGTTACAAAAATAAAAGCACAGTTTTTACCGTTCAATTTCTGGTCTCATTCATCAAACACAGTGGCAAATGAGTTACTGTAACAACTGCTGGCGCCAACCAAACCACTCCATACCAGACCACTTCACCACTAGTTAACTAACATTTCTTTTTCAATGAGTCTTTATATTATATATACTGTATTACATATATTTGTTATGTATTTTCATATGTTATATACCGATAATCTTCATATAAATCTTATATTGCACTTATGTTTGAAATTTTTTATACTTATAAGTAATAATAATTATTATTTATTACAAGTGGCGTCACTATCATATTAAATAACAAAATATTAATTTAGTTGATGAATATTATGTTTGTAATAATAAAATATACTCTTTTATAGTATATACACTTAATATAAAAATATTTCATTTATTGAATACAATATATCGAAAATATTATATATACTAATTTTATAATCTTTATAATAATTTTAATGAGACATTGAATCTGAAAACTAAATTTCTTTATATTATACAAATGAATATATATACTATGAAAATAATTAATTAAATTTTTTATATATAAAAATCTTTATACTTATATAGATTAATTTTTATGTAAAATTATATAAAATTGCAATTATAGTGTACTGTAAAAGCAAAACAATTTTTGTGACTAACAGTCTATTAATACAAATTATTGTGGCACTAAACAGACAATTATATAAATATATAAAAATTGCCATCAATTATAGCCAATTTGAAGAGTACATCAACCAAACAGTTGGGAAAACTGTTTTTTTGCTAAAATAATGAATTTATAACAGAATTTATAATGAAATATACAACAGTTAATAGTATTTCAATAAATCGTCAATTTTAAAATTAATAAGACATTAGTTAGTAATAATGTATTATATTAAAACTATAATTTTTAATTTGAATTAAAATTATTTTAAAAATATTATTAAAACAAAATATAAAACATTATCTACTACTACGTTATACTGTATATCTATTATATTTATGATATTATTGAAAAATTTACAATAACTGTAAACTACATGAAATATCATAACATTTAATACGAAGTTTGCATTCAAATTAGTTTTAATAATCATTTGTCTATTTAGAAACGCAATGAGAAAATTAAATCTATTTTTACTATTGTAATACAACTAATGTGTTGGGAATATTTGGCATATAAATTGGTTTATACTGTGTATTCAATTTTTTTATTGTCTAACAATTTATTGTTTGGACCAATATTTTTATTTAATTTAAAACGTTTATCATCTCTCACACTATACAATATTAAGTGTACTGTATATTCAATATACACTAATATTAATGTAATTAGTATTCATTACATTAATAGTCTAACTGTTTTTTTATGTTTTGTGGCTAAATATGGTCACACAATGCATATGTAGTATACATATATGATATTATGTAATATTAAAAAATAAGTTTTAGTTTCCAGTGGTGTATAAAAGCGCAGAGCATAACACCTGCCTATGACTATCGGGATCTGAGACACGATATCCATCGGGCGGTTATCTCTTGTTGTTTTGGGTTTGGATTTAACAATATTACCCAAACATTAGTGGGTAACGCGTGAGTATCATATTATTTGAGCTAAATTGAGGTTCACCTCAGATATTAAAAGCCATGTTTTTTGATATAAGCCGACAAATTGACAGAAATATCATTGTTTTATATTAAATATTTGATTCAATATAAATCCTATCAAATTTATAGCTAAAGATTTTCCTTTTAAATAATTTATTCAATGTTTATTTTATCAAATCTTTATATTTAAATAGTTTTAAATATGAATACTTAAAAAAACAATGGATATATTTTTAATTAACATTAAGAGAAAATCTTATATACAGATATTAATTGTATTTAACATTAATTAAAATTATATCTAACTTTTTATATAGAGTCAAATATATAAAGGCAAACAAAAATTATGATTATATAGAAATTATATATTAATTAATTTCATATATAAAAATCTTATCATGACTTTCACATAAAACAATTTTTAGAAATTGCTTTTTTAATTAAATTTTTTGAAATCGTATATTAATTATGTTTGTCTTTTCTATTTATTTTTATTTATCATTAATATATTTTGCTTACTATTATTATTATTATTTTTAAAATAAAATATTTACTTGCTTAGAAACAACATAAATAATTTCAATATTTAAATACAAGTACTAACATATTATATGTGGCACAACACATATACCACAAAATAATAATAATAATAATCAATGCATAAAAGTATATTTATAAATAAAATTAATTGATTTGCAAAACTAATAATATGAAAATATCTAAACTCATATATTTATTGTCAACGAGTAAACACATATATAATTATATAATTTTCTATTGTTTCAATAAGAAATATAAATATTTAAATAATAAATTATTATGCTTAAATAGACTTATATTAATAAAGTAAAAATCAATAATACATACATAAACACATCAGCATATTATTATAATTATTGAAAATATATTATTATATTTAAATATAATAATTATCTTAAATAAGAGTCGAAGGCATTGAGTTTACATTCAATCGATTGACTGATTATTTTTCTTTTTTATATTAAAATAACTATAAATCTAATATTGAATATCATTGAAAACAATAGTATTTTGAGAAACAAATAAAAAATTGTTGAGAAAAAACTTTTCTATTAAAAACATATATTTTTGCTTTAAGTTTAAAACTAATAATACTGTATTAGTAATATATAGAATAAATTGTATATAAGTTATATACTGTATATGGTTTGTTAGTACTGTATCAAGCAATACATTTCAAGTACTGTATAGTATAAAAATAAAGTTGAATTACATAACAGTAAGATCTGAATATATACTGTATATATTGGTATATGTTTTGTGTGACTATATGTTGATATTTATTGCCATACAATAGTGTTTGAGATGGTGTTGGAGGAAAAGGTGCAAAATTTGAGTTAATGAGCGAATGCCGTGAGTTGTGGAGGAGGAGGACATTCACAAAATGTTTATATGAAGAGTAGTATACTGTTTATAAATATATATATATATATATATATATATATATATATATATATTGTACAATATATACTGGTTTTTATAAATATGTGAATTAATGCCTAACTTTTGTGCCGATACTCATTACTGTCATTAACATTGAATTAGGAATTTTTTGTAATTTTTTTATATGTCATTACTCTCTCTCTCTCTCACACACACACACACATACACTCACTTTCTTCTCTCTCTCTCTCTCTCTCTCTCACTCACTCACTCACTCACTCACTCAATCACTCACTCTCTCTCTCTCACACACATACACTCACTTTCTTTTCTCTCTCTCTCTCTCTCTCTCTCTCTCTCTCTCTCACACACACACACACACACACATACACTCACTTTCTTTTCTCTCTCTCTCTCTCTCTCTCTCTCTCTCTCTTAATTTTCAACCAATACTTTATTTATTAAATTTGTTTTAAATATTTTTGAATGTGTAATATCGTATATAGTTTTAAAATTGAAATACACTATAATCTTATCTTAAATAAATAAACATAATTCTATATTTTATTTCTAAATTCATGAATATTTGAACATTTATTTAATTAGTGTCTTAATTTAAAATTTTTAATTATAATAATTCAATACTTTGTCAAAATCTAATTATAATCACAACATTGCATAAATAATAATATGAAATTGCATTTAAACTTTTGAACAAACTTTCGGACATAATAGAAAAGATATAATACTTGTATTATATTTATGGTAAAAATTGTAATTTAATTATACAATGGGTGCGTAAACTTATAATATAAGGAATTGTTTTTTAAATAAAAATTAATTTATTAAACCAATACACTATAAAGATTTGATTGGTTTAATATACTGTATTGAGCTTGCGTTTAATTTTTAGTCCAAATAATAATATTATATAAAAATATTAATATTTTTTTAATTATTTTATAAATTTACTGTACTTTATAGATAGCGTTTCCATAACAAAATTCATTAAAAGATCTGACATTTATTCTTTAGTTTAATCCTATTCTACATTTTGATTCTCTATCCGAATCTGAATACAAAAATTAAAAATCCTTAATAAAAGTTATGAGAAATAAAAAGATTTAATAAAATTTACAAATTTTATTGAATCTGATAATTGCCTCTAAAATTGTAAAATCATAATATTATTGTCCACTTTAATCAATATTGTCTAATACTGTATATACAACTGAAATACAATTTTAATAATAATAAAATGTATTTTTTTTAATTTTATTTTGTCCATTATTTCGTATAACTATTAATATTTTAATTACAGTCAATTTTCTTAATATTTATTTACTTATTATAAGTAAATTGCAATTTTTACATTAATAATTGATGAAAATAAAAAATTAAAATAATTGGGTCAATATATTTTACAACATAAGAAAATTTTAAAAACTAATAATCATTATCTATAGGAAATTAAAGGTCAAATGTGTCGGTCTATAACTTATACAACACTATATACATAGTGGCCCACAGGCTTAATACATTTTAATAATTTAATATTTAAAAAAACTGTACATGGTAATTTATTCGAAAAAATTCCAAAATACTCATCAAAATATAGGATTTTTGTTGTTATACTTTTTATTTTAGTAATCAAATAAAAAATGATATAATTCAATAAACATTATCATTTTAATAAAAATGAACAAAATGTCGCCGCAAAAGTTAATTTAATTAAAACTATATCAATGACAACAATTATTTTCATTTAATTATTTAAATCCTATACAATGCGTGATATTTTGATATATATTTAAATAAATTATCATGGATAGTTTCTGAAAAATTAAAATGTAACAAAAATGTAGGCCTCACTGTATAATCAATTGATAGTTATATATATATATCAATGTCTGCTGCGATGATTACTTCTCGAATGATTACTTCTTTCAGGTGATGGACTTCTATTCCTTTTGGAATCAGTTCTGTATTCATGTCTTCCATGAGATCTTTTATTGTCTCTATCAGTGTATTTGTTTCGTTCTCTATATCTGTCTCTATCCTTATCCTTATTTCTATCGCTATCCCTATCCCGATGTCGATCCCTATGTTCCCTATCTTTATCTCTATCTCTGGAACGACTCCTTAGATGTCTAGAATGTCTGTTTTTATGGTGTCTGTCCCGTTCAGGTGAGTTATTACTCGACTTATGGCTAATCTTAGGTAACATTACCTGATACTCATCTTTATCGTAGACATAATTATATTTAGCATCAGTTCTCTGTCCTAACGCACTATTTTTAAGTCTAAACTGATCACCAGATTTGTCATCTTTTTTATCCTTAAAGTCTTTAACAATTGTCACTCCTTTTCCTTTTCCAAACCATTTAATCTTAGAAACTGATTGACTGAAGTCTACATGAATTCTTCGATCATCGATCAGTACGTTATCCATCTTAAAGTAGGCCTTTTCGCAGTCTTCTTCGTTGTCAAACTCGATGAATGCGTACTGAAGTGATTCACCAGATTTTTGATCGCGAATCACTTCACAGCTCACTATAGTTCCGAAGCGCGAAAATATTACTTCCAGATCGTCCTCACGGGTCACCGGATTTAGTTTACAGACAAAAAGTACATTTTCTGGTGGCTTAACCTCAGCGTCGGGTATATCGCCAATCATTTCTAAAACCAATGCTCTTTCTTTTGCTTCTTTATCTCGAATCGATTCATCTATTTCTTGTGCTGTCATACCATCCGTGTCATCAACATCTTCAAGAACACCAATTCGGTCTGATTTGAGAAACTCTTCGTTAATTTCGGGAGATTGCGGCGGTATTTCCAGATCTGAAAAGACAATACTATTAGTATTATATCTATAATATTACGGTAAATATATCGCTATAAATAACATTCAAATAATTATACTCTTTGGCTGCGGGAACGGGTCGTCCAAAATAACGGTATGAGTAATGAGAATGTCTTTATACGGCTTGTGATTGGTATCGCATAATACTTCGTTAAATTTGTCCAACACTTCCATACCTTCGGCCACTTCACCGAACACCGTATGTTTGCCGTCCAAGTAATCCAATTCGTCGGCCAGTGTTATAAAAAACTGTGAGCCGTGAAGTCCTTCACCGTTGTTGACCATCGAGACGAGGCCTTTGCGCCTGTGCTTGATCTTCGGTTTGGTCTCCATCTCAAACATGCGGCCATTTTCGCCGTACAATTGCAGAAATACAGAGTCACCTCCACTGCCAGTACCGGTCGGGTCACCCGATTGGGCGATAAAGTTGTGTTGAATGTAATGAAAGACACAAAAGTTATAGTATTTTATTTGACATAACTTTAAAAAGTTAAGACAACATCGCGGCCTCTCTTTGACAAACAGGTCGACTGTAATGTCGCCGATTGTCGTCTCAATGACCACTGACATCACACCCGACAAAGTGGTCAACGATTTATTCAAACAATAATTTATTATTAAATGTTTTCAATATATGTTTATCACAATAATTGTCAAACAATTTTGTAGACAATTTCTATTCAATTATTCACTCATTTATTCACAAACATTAACCATAAACTCGACGGACTGTTCATATAATACGTTACAAATAGTGTTAATCATTTAATTGTTTTTTTGGGATACAGTAATAAATTCATTCATAATTTAAAATTAATTTCTTATTTTTTTTAATTATTAAAATACAATTTATTTTTGTTATTTTAATAAAAAATGTGAATTTTTAAATATGTTTTAATTAATAATATAAACTATATAATTTACCTGTAAATATATGCACTAAAATTTTAAATCCCATAGTAAAATTTAATTATCTAAATATTTAAAAATATTTTAGATACAGGTACCGTAATTTAATTTGACAAATAAATAGTAAATAAATATATATTTTTATTGATATAAAATATAGGTATAATATATATACCGGTAATTATAATAATAATAAACATAGAGATATCACAAAATAAATGATATTTTTTTTAGACACTTTTATAAGTGTTAAACAATTCACTAAAATAGTAAACAACTTATGATTAAAACAAATCTATAATATTATAAGAGATTGCATATAAAAATATATTTTGTTGTAAATCATATAATTTTATAAAAATAATTATTATTTTTGTATTCAATTTACGATATATTGAATATAGTTTCAAACATATAATCCCCTAATTATTAATTTACAGTAATTATTATTATTGTTTAAGCCATGGATTATAAGTTATTATAATTTGTAGACTCATTCAGTAAACCAGTTGACGACTCGCCGGTCCAACCAAACCATAGCACCGATTGGTTCCTTACAATTGGGTGGCAATAACGCCAAATATGCGGGTGCATCGGCTCCCTGTTCAGGAGTCAGTACACCCTTATGTCGTGTCATATCTGTGTCCACATATCCTGGATGTACGGCATTCACTACAATATCTTCGCGTGACTTATCGGCATTCAGTTGTCTCTGTTGAATGAATGTCAGTGCCGTCACCGCCACCTTTGACACGGCGTACGTACTGTTTGGCCAACCTTTCTCTACATGTCTGCCATTATTGACATCTTCAAGATATTCATTAACTAAATCGAGTAACTGTTTGTCCGTCAGATTAGGATCAGCAAACCGTTTCCGCAGTGATTCACCTAATCATATAAGACATCAAAAGTGGTTAAAATAAATATTAAATTCAAGACATCGGCGGCAAAGATAAAACCTTTAATTTTGTTAAGCATTCCCAACGCTGACGACAAGTTAACAACTCTGGCGTGTGATCTGAGAATTGGTAACAACTTTTCGCATACACTTCGAGTGCTAAAGAAGTTGGTCCGCAATGTGTTGGCTGCCTGTTCGGTGACCGGAGCCGTCGAGTCGTATGGATAGGCAATGGCCGCGTTATTGACCAACACATCTAAGCCGCCGTAGTTGTCCATCAGATACTGTCTCAAATCGTTGATGGATTGATTGTCATCGATGTCCAACTGATGAAACAACGGTTTGTAACCCAAATCGTTGAGTGCTTTGATCGCCTCCTGACCTCTGGTCACATCGCGTGCGGTCAGAATGACATCGCCGTCAAAGGAATGACCGAACAGGTGTTTGACAATCGAAAAGCCGATGCCTTTATTACCGCCGGTCACGACCGCTACTCGTCGGGTATTCATTGTATTGATAGACCTGTTGTTCAAATCGGACACAAATGTGGCCAACAATTGATCGATAAAATTGTTGTATTGTTTGTAAATAAAAGTATTTTTATCACAAATAACGTAAAACTCAATCAATTTTTAAAAGTAATTCAATGTTTTGTAATTAAAATTGATTTATTAATACAATAATTGTTTGTTTAAATGTATTAAATGTTTAAATTATAAAAAAATTGTTTAAATACAGTAAACTTAAAATATATTAAACTTTTAAAATACAAAATCTCAAACATTTATTTAAAAAATTATACAGTTTATAAAGTTTTTAAGTTATAAATTATACTCTTATTTAATGATAATTTTTAAAAGTTAATGATTAAAAATATAATTGTAATTAATTAATTATTAATTAGATATTTATAATAAAAATGTAGTCAATAAACTACATGTAATTGTATTTTGTCTATTAATATCACTTATATTTCACAAATTGAATATATTATATATATTTGTACTTACATTTAATTCAACAATAAATTAATTTTTTTAATAATTGCATTTAATGTCTTTTTATTGTAAAATTAATAAATTAAATCAAAATAAAATAAAATGTTTAAAAATCATTTTAACTATAAATATGAATTTTATTAAAATTTTTAATAGTTTTCTTACATTTACAGTAAATATATTATAGTTGTAATAATGAATAATCATTGTCTATACATAAATGAATAGTGTATTCAAATTAATCATCTGGTTTTATCAATATAAATTGTAATTAAAGCTATAAAATAAATATATAAATTTAATATAATAAAAAAATATAAATATAATCTGGGACATTTATTGTTTTTGTCTGACTAATAAATTTATTACACATATTTAATTGTCGTACATGTTTATATTTGTACATATTATATCTTAAATAATATTACTTGTATACTTATATTTATTTGTATACAGTATTATACAAATAAATATTTCGGGAAATTTTATTACAATGTTAAAAATAGACAAATAGACTAAATTTGATGTTAATTTAATGCAAACTTAAAATACTAGACTAAAAAATTGAAAATACATATTTTGTTATCTTTATGTTATGTGTGTTATCCCGGATCTTAACAGAGCTTTAAATAAAACTTATAAATATATGTTTTTTTATATTACATACCGTAAAGGTTTTAATATTTTGTCTATTTTTAGACAAATAATATAACCAAATGATGATAACGTTATGTCTCCATTAGTCCTCAATATTAATAATAGTTTGTCTCATGATTTGGTAATCATTTTAAGTTATTTTATACTAAACAGTGGCATATATTTTATAATGTAATTGTGTTATACAATATTTAAGTTGTATAATCATTGTCATACAATTGCTATGTGTAGGGATTATTGTAGGGCTTAACTATCACTCCATACCATAATCCCATTGCAATGTTAAACAGCTTAGTTGTATTTTTAACATATATAAATATAATGGCAAAATGTTTTACCAATAATATTATCGATATATTTAACAACATATTCTTCCCCTTTAATATAAAGTAATAATAATTATTATTATTATTACTTTATATTATTGATTCAATAATGTGTAATACACGTAATTATATTTACTACAATATTGTTTTATTTATATAACTAAAAACACATATACAGACAATAGAGTGCTATTGAGGATCAAATATTTAAGATTTTTAAACCATAAAAGTCAATGTAATCGGAGATTCCTTTTAAAAACAAATATATTTAATAAAATAAGTTCAATATTTTTTCTGTTTGTTTTCTGGTAAATCACTTATTGATAGTAAAAGAAAGAAAGAAAGAAAGAAAGAGAGAGAGAGAAAGTTTAAAAAATTTAATATTATTATTTAAAAAAGTCAAAAGAACTAATACAAAGTCATAAAACATTTATAAACTTAAAATGCAATGAAATGGCACTTATTTTTAAAAAAATAAATTAAATGTTTTAAATGAAAATTACATTATGAAGGGTTTATTACAAGAAATACTGATTCATTGCCATTGAAAAAATATAATCAACTTTCAACCAGCAATTCAAACAGCATTAGTAGAAATTTTAATAATATATTGATATGTATAAGTCTATTAGCTATTAATAAAACAAACAAATTATTTAAATAAAGCCATATTAAAAATTAGTTGTCATTTTTTCAAACAAATAATAGTTTTTTCACTTAAATAATATCTGTATGTCTTTAAGTACCGAAAAATATTTATTATATAAATATAATATTATATTATATTGAGTGCAAAATTCTGCCTAAAATCTTCAAAATGCATTCATTGACTTTTATTTTCAATAACTGCTAATAACACTTTATTTTTTATTAATTTAAGCAATACTTTTATTAATAATAATATATTTATTAAATATATATTATTCTTATTTGTACTGTAAACATAAATATGATTATTATTTATTGACTAAATCTTTAATAACAATTTTTTGTTTGACTTGAAAGCATACACACAAATATCATTAACTTTTTTCAAATAAACTAAATATAATTACTGATTGTCAAACAATATCATTAGATTACATAAGAAAATTAGTTAATATGTTTATCTCTAATTCTAATAATGTCTTTAAATTTATACTCTCTCTCTCTCTCTCTCTCTCTCTCTATATATATATATATATATATATATATATATACTATTCAATTCTTTATAATGTAAATAATAATTTATATTATATCAAATATAACTTATAATATTAATATGTATTTGTGATTGCATTCAATTTTATAATAAGTTTGCGCACAAAAAGAGTTTTTGTAAAGACTATAAGTGTGTGTTTTGTTTCACTGTTTGTTTTAACTATAGTTTATTAAGTGATTCTCATTTGTATAGGTATTGATTGTATCTGTGTTTTCTCTCTTTTTCTAAGTCATCCAAAGTTTATACGGTATATATAAAGTAAAAATTAATTATTTATACAATAATTGTTAGTAAATAAAATTATATAATAAAAATCAGAAATAAAACCAAAAATCATAATTATATGAAAAATATATTATTATTTTTCTCGAAGTAAATCCTAAAGTATGAACTCCAAGGACAGTCATATTGAAGATCGTTGTCAACACTAATGCCAACAATTTTTATCATTTGTTTTGTTGGATTGCTTTTGCTCACAATATATCACTATATATATGTGTGTATTATATATTAAATACAACAATATTACATATATATATATACTGTATATATATATATATCAATTATTTAAGTATTTAGTCATTTGATCGACACTTTCTTTGACTGACTTTAATTTTTTTTATTATTTATATTATTGTCATATAATTTGTTTTTTAATTTCAAGATAATATTGTATGATATTGTGTGTATCTATAATTTAATTTTTTTAATGTTTGATAAAAGTCACATTAAAAAAGATTTATTTGACAATTTAAATATCGTTTTGTGTTATTATTACTTTTAATATGTTTTAAGAAAATTGTTTTTTTTTAAATATAACTACAAGTGTTTAAATTAACATAAAATTTTCATTATTTGTATCATCATTACAAAAAAAGTATTGGTTTATTTATTATCATTGGTTTTATATATGTTTTTTATAACTATTGAAAGTTAGTCTCAAATGGATGAAGAGATCATTAACTGTCAAAATAAGTTTAACACATCTTTTTATCAAAATATTAATCGTAAGTTAATATTTATACAATATTTTGATTTTTTGATTTATTGATTAAACTAATTATATTCTATTAATTATCTAATAAGTATTTAAACAATAATATGAAACACATTTTTTTGTTTGTTTATTATAAGAAACGGCAAATTGTGGTTCCGTTTGGGATGGAGTATACTGTTGGCCACCGACTGTTCCCAACACTACTGTCCAAATGAAATGTAGTGACATATTTGCCGCCGCTATCGAACACTTCCAGCATTACTCCACTGATGACTATATGAAATACTTTGCTTATCGCAAGTGTTCAGACAGTGGACACTGGGATTGGAACAGTTGGACCAACTATACCGAGTGTCTCACACTTTTGGCACTTCAGGTCAGTTAATGATAACTTTTTGAATACTGTATTACATTTACAGTTAATAATATTATTAGTATTATTTAATTATGATATGACCTTTAAAAAAAATATTGAAAGTCAATATTCATATTAAAAATTTACAATAATTATAATATAATTATTTATTTTTTGTTAAATCCTTGAATATTCTCGTTGTGTCTTAATTTAAATAAATTATTAAAGCATCGATTTTATAATAATAATAGTTATATCATAATATATTGTTGATTTATTTGCAAAAAAAACTTGGCTTCAAAAAACAGGAAAGTTTTTTAATTAAACATTTCTGTATTTATTTTTAGACTTAAAATTTTAATAATTAAAATTCATATCACAAAAATAATTAAAGTATATGTCATTTTTGAGTATTATTTAAATTTTTATTTATTTTACTTTTATTTTATGACTGTTATTGTAATATTAATATTTTCTAAAAATACAAATTTTATTATTATATTAGTTTTGAAAATATAATTATAATTTCCTGCACGTTTGATACGAAAAATATATTATTTTTATAAAATTAATATATAGTTTTGTTAGTTATTTTTAAATCTTAGTTTAAATCTTAAGTTATATCTTATTTTATACTTAATTATTATAAATATGTTTGTTGTTATTGAGCCTTACTTTAAATAAGCAATTGACAAAACATTTATATTACTTAAAATTGATAAAATACTGTATTATGTTAGACTATACCATAGAAATCTATCTCTTTATTATAAGCATCACTTAAAAGTTGTCTACAAAACTATTATTTTTAACTGATTAACAATTAGTCAAAATGTTAACAAAACGTATATTATTATAAACAACTATAATTATATAATTTAAATTTGAATTTAAGTTTCATTCAATTGTATGCTCAATGTCAATGTCTAAAATAATTAATACTGTTTGGAATTTAAAAAAAAAATATTAACTAATTGCCGGTAATTATTCATTTGAATATTTTAAATATAATATTGTCATTTTAAATAAGTTTTTATTAATAATAAATTTATTATTTAACTCAGAAAATATATTTTTTAGTATTCTTATATTATTAACAATAATTACATTACATAGTATTAACATAAAAATATTATTAAATTTGTATTTAAAACTTATGTATCAATAAATCATTTTTAAATAGACTTCAAAAATAATTAATAATAAAATTGCTTAATTAAATGACTCAACATATATAATATATAAGAAAGTTTTTTTCTGGGATAACTAAAAATATAATCATTAAATGAATTGACATAAAATTAATGTTAATTCAGAATATTCTTATTATTGCCAGTATTATAGATAATGGCTTTTTATTAACAATTTTTATGTATTTATTATTTTTGTTTTACTATACATTCCTAAAGACAAGAGTGTCACTGATTTTTGTCTATTCTTATGAATCAAATAAATAAATTCTAAAAATAGTATTTCTGTGTTATAATTAAATCACATTTAATTTGTATGATATTACTAATTACAGTACAAAAAAATTATAACATTAATAAAAATTTATTTAATTATTACTATAAATTACTATTATTTATAATTATTGAATTCATGATTGAGAAATAGATTTTGTTTTCATCTATTTTAAGTAGACTAATAACGATTAAATTATGGTTAAATATTATTTGAGGAATATTAATATTATATTATAATTAAATTATTATAATTTATTGATTTATTGATCAATTATCATATCCTGTAAACGACAATAGACTATTAATTATTAAAATTACAAAATTAACAAACATTTGTCAATAAACATAGTTTCATTTAATCAAATATAATTGATTAATTAAACTTAAAATTAATTTAATCTTTACTGATAATAATATATTTCATGCGAAATATGTAATTTGACACTAATTGATAAACTAATAAAACTATTTGATATGATAAACAACAACAAAATTTGTTGTTAATTGACATTACATGATAAAGCTGTTAAAATAGATGTAATTATTTTATAATACTATATAATATTTACTTTTAATTATCTTAATTATAGGATGAAAACATATCCCGATTGTCATCCATAAAACAAGTGCTTAACTATATAGTGCTGACCTGTTCCCTGTGCTCGTTAGTGGCACTAGTAATCGCGCTCATCATATTTACATGTTTTAAGTAAGTTTCTTAAAATACTACAAATAAATATTAATTATTTATAACCAATCATAATTAATCTAATAATGTCTATTTGATTATATCAAAATATAAATAGATCCATACAATGCACCCGAATCCGTGTCCATAAAAACTTATGTATAGCACTATTGATGAATTGTTGTCTATTGATTGTAATGTCGTCACCGGTGGTAGTCGACAACGCTTCGTTACCTCAAATTGTAAGTTTAAATTTTAAAAATTAATTTAATTGTTTAAATAAATGTTGTGTGTGTGTGTGTGTGTGTGTGAACTTGCAATGATTGAAAGTATGTTTATTTAAATTATATCTAAAAATAGTTGTTCACTAATGACACTATTATAAGTTTTCATTCACACGGGTCTATACTCTAACACTCACTGTATTACTAAATATTATATATAAGTTTATATTGATTATATTTATATTGTAAATGATGGCAATTCATATATCATATAAAAGTCATTCATCAGCAAACAGATGATTGACATTTATTGCTTAACATATTATATATTACAATATATTATTTTTGTCTCTATAATGTAGCTATTGATATAATTATTGAATATTGAATCATAAAATTACTATTAATATATAATCTTATTTTTGTTTATATCATAATACATTCTAGTATTCTATTATGATTATAATGTATTTTTTAATTTCATAATTGTTTCATAATATAATAGATTGTTTTACATAATCATAAAACTAAAAACATGACAAACAAAACTAAAATTTATTTAGAAGAAAATCTTATTAATTATAAATAAGTTTTAATTATAATTATATTGCAAGAATTATTATGTATCAGTAATTTTTGTTTGATATAAACTTAAATATTTATTCAAATTAAGATAAAGTATGTTTTGTATCTTAAAATTTGCCATATATTCAAACATATCTGTCATTTTCATAGTATTGGTATGTGTTTGTTGTGTTTAACTCAATATTAAATTGTAAACCAAATCAATTTAAAATCTCAAGGATTTCACACCAGTTTTCACTCTTTATTCACTTAATGTATAGTTTATATATAAAAGTAATGTAATGTATATGAATCTGTCATAAAAGTTAATTAAATTAATGTTAAGTTAAAGTTTAGGAAAAATGATAAAATTAGAAAAAGCACTGTCACTTAATGCACACTATTGAACGGCAATTCAATTATAAAGTAAAAGTCAGTACAACAAAACTTTTGATAAATGATACAAAATTTTGTAAGTTTTTTGTTGTTGTTTTTAGAATTTTTTATTTTAGTAAGTTTTATGAAAAAAGTCAATTTATAAAATTAGTTTGAAGTTAATTTGATTTTTTTTGTTAAAATAATGCAAACTTCAATGTCAATGTCTTCATTTATTATTATAGTTTTCCTAATAGTTTTCAAAACAAAATTATAACTAATAAAGGTTTTATAATAATTTTTTAATTCAAATAATCTATTTAAGTAATATATATATATATATATATATATATATATATATATATATATGACCTATTGAATAATAAATTACTAGACAGATTGACTACATAAATCATGATTATAAAGTTTATAAATAAATATAAAAATAATTTTAGTAATACAATTTGTTTTCATACTGTATATACTTTGAATGATTTTATATGAAATATGAAAAAATCAATATGTAGTAAACAACATAATATTTGAAAACTAAACAATTATTTTGAATTACATAATTTTTTATGATTTTATGATTCTATAAATAACTTTCATATTTAATAATTTAAAATAAGAAATTTTATAGTTGTTAGGAATTTACGTTAATTTAATGATATAAAAAAGTAGGTTTTAACATAAAAATGTTTCAAAATAATCTAATATTTATATTATAAACTGAAAATAAAATTTTTATTTTTATTAGTGAATTCTTAGAAATTAAATGAAAGTTTTTTCAAAATATTTTTTATTTATATTTAGTTATCTTATATATGGGTTTTTCATATGTTTATACTGTATGTCTATTGTAGGACTGGTTGTGTAAAAGCTTAAAGGCTTTGAATATTTATTCATTGATGGCAACCATACTATGGATGTTCAATGAGGGACTCCTACTACACACTCGTCTTTATGTTTCTCCATTCAAAAGCAATACAAACTCTTCATTGGCTATCTATTACATAATTGGTTGGATATTTCCAGCCTTAAGTGTACTGCTTTGGGCTATGGTTTTAGAGTTTGCATTAGATTTTGAATCCCATCAGTGTTGGCAGGGATACGGTAAAAGTAAGACTATATTTATAGTTACCGGTCCTATGTTGGCACTGTTGGTCATAAACACTGGTTTTCTAATTAATATAATTCGCATATTGTTTGTCAAACTCAAACACGACAACAACAGAGATAAAGTAACATCAAAAACAATTAAAGCAACCGCACTGTTGATACCATTATTAGGTATCGTATTAAACATTAGTTTTATTATTATTATTATTATAAAAATTATAATCATTAGAAAATTTTTAAAAATATATATTTTACATAACTTAATATCCAAGTAAACACCAATTAATTTTTATCAATTTTATTAAAAGGTATTCAACATTTGTTGTTTTGTATAAATCCATCGACATTTAACTTATATCTCGAAAGTTTTTATATTATTATCAATGGTTTAATACAATCAGTTCAAGGAATTACAGTTACAATTTTGTATTGTTTTACAAACCATGAGGTATTGTTTATCAAACAATTAAAAATTATCATATATTATAACATTTGTTTGACTAACTCTATGTGTTTCAGGTGAGAGCAGCTCTGAACAGCGCTTGGTCTCGAAGACGGATTAGCCATAACTTTGGTCTCTATAGTAGTAGTAAAAAGAGGCGACAGAGCAGCGCATCGTCCACTTCGATGACATTGGCTAAGGATAAGGTGTTGTGTCCTCTGTTTTACAATCAACCCATTAACTAAAAAACATACCTCTCATCTCATCTCAAAACAAATATATTATATTTTAATATAATAGATACTCGAATTTATTTGTTTTATAAATTCCAATCTCATTATTATTATTATTTAAATTACAATTCAAATGTATAAATTCTGTGATATTCCTCTATAATATTTAGTTATTTTTTTTGTAAAACTTGATTGACTTTTGTTTTCATTACAAATGTGGGTTTTTTTTCAATCCCGGCATAATTTAATTGAACAAATTTTTTCAAACTATCACCTAATCTATTCTTACATAATTTATTGGTGATGTTATAGTTTATTAGGTTTGATAGACTATCTGATTGTGTGACACTATATGACTAATGTATGTGTTTTATTTTAATAAGTATTTTTTATTTCATAAAACATTGATAAAACAATTTATTTGATCATATATTAAAATATCATTATCATGTTTTGTTATTTTTTTCAATATCTATATATATTTTGAATATACAGTATTTAATAAACTTATCACTTAATACATCTAATACATTATATAATACATATACAGTAAAATACATGTAATTATATTATCAATAATTATATTATTCAATTTCATGTAATTTATAATATAAATTCACGTTTTTATATTGTTGTAATAATAGTCGTAATATAAAATATTTTGATTTTCAGATAATGATAATAAATTAATTAATATTAATAATAAACAAAAACTGTTTAATTTTGAACATAAAATTAATTATATAGTTTTCATATTGTGGTCACAAAAAATGGATGTAATGAATGAATTATTAGGAAAAAAATTTCGTGAATTATATTTCTATATAATAATTATTGTCATCATTTGGTTAATCTTTGGTGTCCTCTCTTACGTATATCTCAGTCGTTACCGTCCATTGAACCGGTCGTACGATTCCCTGTATATCATTCACCACAACTGTTACAGTTTGACGGCAACCAAAGTATATCTTTTCAAACTGTTTTACGGCAAAAATCGCAAAAAGTTTTTCTTCGGTACAACCATTAGACTTAAACTGTTAAACCAAAATCAAACAAACATTTTGTCAATCGATATCCCACCGAAACTGGTGGCCAATGCGCACAGGGATGAAGTTCGCGATGACAACCGACCAAAAGAAAAAGTATTGGTCTTTCTGTTACAAACAATAACACCATTCAATGCCACCATCAGCTGTCTGGACATATCACACGAATCGGAAGGTGAACTATATGTGACCCGCATTGAGATTATTGATGTCATCTCTAAAGACACATATATATCACGTATTCACAAATATATCCGACGTCTACCACGCGGTGCCGCACCAATGACTCAGACATTTCTGTGCAATTATAACGGACAGATCCAATCAGATATTAAGCCATCTTTTTATCTCAATATTGTTGAGATCTGTTTCTTCTGTACGATTGGCATACATTTCCTTCTCTGTGCCGTTAATTTTGGTTACGATTTATTGCAAAAACATTCATCAAATAATAGTTTAAATATACTGTACTCGGGATTCATTGGATCATTCATTGGTTTGGTTTTCGTCATAATTATAGTTTCCGTATATCAGTCATGCATTAAGACATTGTATAGCAGATACAGAGGTATTGGTATTATTTGGTTAATCAAATGGATTTTTATAGTATTAACTATACTACTGGCACTCATCTCCCTGTTCTCTATTATTATTAATATTGTTTTAAAAGAGTCTGCTCTCGATATGAATGAACTTTTATGGGAGATATTAGCTCTCATATTGGGTTTTGTATCATATAATTGCATTTTCCTTATTGTTGTACTTATGTTTTGTTTTTGCGGTTTTCTCAATGAACCCAAACAGTATGATCTCTGGTCATCACCGCCACAGTCGAGCAGAACCATCAAAAATAAGACCTCACCTAAGAATCCCATCAATAAAGATATTTCTAACAAACAAATGTCAAAATCTGTCATAGCTTTACATAACGATTCCCGTAATAAATCTAAAGCCTAATACTTTTTCAAAAATCATTATATTTTATTAATTTTATAGTTTTTAAAAACTCATCAATTGTTAACATCAAATATATTAAAGTATTAATTTTATATATTTACAGTATATTATATATATATATATATTACAAAAAATAAACATTAATTTTTTAAATATTATTGAAAGTATCATTTAAATTGATTTATATAAATTTATATAAAAATATTTATAATTTAATATTTTTTAAATAAAATTAATTGTATAAAGTAATTTATTTTAGAAAATATTTTTTTGGTTTCTGTTATATTATAATTATAAATAAGATAAATTATAGTATATCCTAGAATGATACTAGTACATTATAAACGTAACATGATCATTTAAAAATCACATGATAATGACTGTTAATAAAAATTTAATTTATTAATACACAGTATTAGCAAATTATAAATATGTTTTTGGCATTTATAAAATATAAATATAAAATCAATATTTAATAATGATTAAATTTCATATACAATTAAAAATATAATTAATATTGAATAAATAAAATTTTGTGTATTTTAATTATTACAAACGTATAGAAAACTTTCCAAAATTCTGGTTCATAATGCCTGTCCTTTATACGGAATTCCCATTCTTTGAATTTTATTTTTTTATAATTTTTCTTCAAACTTGGTATCAATTGTAACAACTGTGGTATTAATAGGATATTGATTGTACTGTTCACTGATCTGTTCACAAGTGGGTCTTTCATTATATACCGGTTTTATTGTGTTATTAATTGTTAAATCTATTGTAGGGATAACATATAAAATAGATTTATTATTAATTTATATTATATCATTGATTTTTAATATCATCTAAAAAATTAATAGTTAACATTAATACAAAACATAATAATATATAAGTATATGATATCATTCGTATATATATAATACATGCGATAATAGAAGAACTTTTGCAGGAAATGATATATACAAACATTTATATTTAAAAACATTTATATTAAAAATATTACATATAATATTACAATAATTATTATAACTTTATATGTAGGCTTAGCCCTTCATTATCTTTAATTTTATATTATTATCATGTTTTGTAATATTAAAATATATTGTTTAAATTAGTTTATGATAATTATAATTATAAATATGTTAATTTAATTATTATTATGTATATTATCGACGTTCCCTTTAAAACATCAATAAATTTGGAGACCTGGCTGACAATGCATGATCTAATAGGACATCCAAAGGTTCAATAATAGTTATCTCATTAATTAAGCGCAAAGTTTGAATAACCGGTAAGTAAAAAATATAATTTTATAAAACTCTACTATAGTTATCAAAAAATATTAATTGCTAACATTTTTATATATTTTGTTCATAAAATTATATAAAACTTTATTTATTAGTTATTTTTTGTCTTATATATCATACAGATAATGCCAATTAAAAGTTTAAATTTGAGTAATATGGTGTATAGTTAACTTTACGCTAAGCAAGGTAATTTAGTATACAGTTACATTATATTAGGCAAGTTATATATTGGTACCTTGCTAAAGCATTACATAAGATTACTCAAATTTAAACTTGTAAGTGGCATAAACTGTATAATAAAATACAAATTATAAATTACTAATCTGTTAATTGTTAATATTTTCTAATTATTATAAGCGCGCGATAAATGATTGGTTTAAATATTAATAGAAAAATATTCATTTATTTCTATTGATCTATATTTCAGATGACAATGAGTTCAGTTATCTTTTACTACATTTGTCTTTTAATATCACTATTTGTATTGAGTGTCAGTACTGATAGAAATGAGTGTCAATTATTTGGATCTAACGGTACATATGAAGGCGTTGGTGTTTATAGAAATCTCGACAATAATCGGCTAATGATGTATAATAAGCATAAAGAGTGGGAATTTGTATTGAATAACAATACAATTGAATTCAATACAAATATTATCAATGAATTGGATTCAAATGCAATCATTAGATTTACAGCTGTGGTTGAAGTAAAAAATAGTAATATTAACAGTTATCATTGCAGTGTTGTAACAAATGTATGAAAACACTATAATTTATTTTTTAACAAAATGTATAGATATTTAACGACTATATAAATGTTATTTATTTAATTAGAAATCGACGACAAATGACTGCATATTAAAATGTTTTCTGTGTATTAAAAATATATTAAAAAAGTTTAAAAGAAATTCAGCTGAAAGTTGTAGTCGAACTAAAACAACTAATGATAGCATTCATATCGATCCATACAATAGTTTTATATTTAATACTAGTTTGAATGGGAGTAATGCGGGAAAAGTCATGATTTATAATCAAATGAATAAAAGTCATAAATTCTTTGATTTTCGAAATATGAATTACGAAGAATGTGATGACTGTTCAGTTCCAACATTTATTGAAGACTTGAAAAACATGAATAATTCAGATATGATTATCAATGGTATGACTGACTTCAATGATATCAGACAATATCTATTGGTATTCAATGTGTCGGGAAAACCAAAATTCTGTACAATTGATGGCAAACAACAATTAAATACTTCGGTCAGTAATATATTGATTAATAAATTGTAATTCAATTCAATTTATTGCTCTTTTAGTGCTCCGAAAGTAATCTCCAGTCCATTGCTTCTCATTGTTTTGATAGCAATGAAGACAACACTACGACTACACCGGACAACACTAACATTATTCTTGCTTTGAGTTTGATTTTGATGATTGTTATCATATTTGGAGTCATTATTATTACAATTATTTCCTTATATATATACAATCGATGGTTTAAAACCCCAAAACCTCAAGAGAAAAATCTAAAACGAATTGAGGTTTGTTTGCATTTTACAAATATTTTTGTAATATTATTAACAAAACAATTGTTTCTAAATGACAACTACTGTATAGTCGACATCAAACAGTAATATGATTGGACGTATTGACTCAAATCTTCAGTGGAATATGAAAGTGTCTTCAATGACCACATCTGATCCCAATAGCATCTCAAGTCAACCAAAGACAACAAAGTCATCGGTTCCCGAACTTAAACGTCGTTCGACTAGTGTTTAACTTATCGTCAATTTCTTTAATCGCAAACATTTGTTTTTATTTCACTTTTCAAAAAAAATTGTTTTCTCAATGTGTTTCTCAATTGTTTTCTTGATATTTATAACTATTTTTCATTTGTTTTTATTAATATTTATTAATATGTAATGTTTAAAACATTAATTTTATTTATTTATTGAAACACTTTATAATTTATTTAAAACTACATAAATATTGTTAGTCGAGTTTCTTTAACTAATATTTCTATTTTTGCTATTTCTAAAAAAAGTTATTTTCAATTTTTTAAATTTAATTTTATGAAACTTCAATATATTTATCAAAAAAATTTACGGTAATTACTATTTTTTGTGTTATATATCATATAATACAATACTAATTATTAATCTGTTAATTGATTTTTTAATTATTTTGTTTACTTAATCATTTTAATTTAATTTGGATCTCGTTTGGAAATGCTTTCTAGCATTCTCAACTGGTTGTTATTAATACTGTTTTTGATATTTGTATTTTTGTATTTTATAATAATAATAGTAAATGTTTGTAATTTGCTAATTCAAATAATTGATTTAATTGTTTGGCATATTTTTTGTACATTATTTATCAGCAAAAAAAATGTTATTTATAAAAATGCAATTAATTAATATATATATGATATATATTAACAAATATATGTTTCAAATATGTTTGCGATAACGTGTGCCTAACATTTAAAGTTGAGTTCAATTATAATACATATGATATTACTATCGCTAGAAATCACTAAAAATTAGTATAATATCTCTATATTTTTAGCGTTAATATCACTAAATTTTAATTAAAATATAAAGCGATAAATATATTAAATTTATTATAACGTAACGTTTGGTTTTCAATAGTCAGTCTAAACAATCAATGTATTTATACAATACATATAACACATAGGGTTTAGAAAAATGTTAGCAAATGTAACGCTATTAGTGTGTGATTAGTGACAACTGATAGCAATAAACACTCGACACATAAATGTGTTATTGAATTGAAAAACATTTTTGAATGACTTTTTGCTTTTTAGTTGATATAAAAAAATCATTTGAAATATCAATCAATTGATTGTCTTTCAAAACATATTGTGTTTTTGGTGTCAACTGTTTTCGTGTATTGTTTACCATCTGATTGATTGTGTCTTCATTATCATCGACGTCGAGAACACCAGAAATGTCGGTAAAGACATACAAATTTAAGGTTGAGATGACCTGCGAGTCGTGCGCTAATGCAGTCAAACGATGTCTGACCAAAGCGTTCGGCGATCAACTCAAACAAGTGGACACCGATGTGGCCACACAAGCGGTTGTCGTTCATCTCGACAATAGTGGCCAACAGTTTACCGACGATCAGGTGCTCGAAGCCGTCAAAAAGTCTGGCAAAACTGTCACCCGAGTCGACTAATCAATGGATAACTAACTAATCAATTGATTATTAATTTTTATTTAATAATTGATATCTAAATCAAAATGTGATTTATATTTTGAATCTTTATTTTTATTGTTTAAATTTATTTATAGTCTTAACTATTCAATTGATTTAAACATATTTTTTTTGTTAATTTAAATTTGTTTTATTTTGTCTTAAATTAATTGCCCGATAATTAATTTGATACATCTATTGAGTCTATTTATATTTATATACTTTTTCTTTAAATCATTTATATTTAAATTAATATAAAAAAATTTCGGATAAAATAACATTTATTTTTTAATTTAATATTTTAGAAATTATTTTATAATTTATTATAAATTTAAAGGGATATAACAAATAATTTTGTAATAACATCTCAGCCATTATTTTTTATTTAAAAAAAATTTAATAATATTTTAATTATATACCAATTGATAACTGTTTTTAACAATTAAATAATCGATAATTAAATGAAAATTCAAAAAGCAATTTGAGTTTTATTTTGTGACCTCCACTTTATTTGCCGATAATTTATTGTTGTTGTGGTTGAGATGGGGTTTGTTGTTGTTGTGGTGGTGTCTCATTTAGGACAGTTATCTCTTTAGGTTTGGGTGTCTCAACCATCGTTATGGGAACAGCTCTTTCACCCTCTTTAAGTTCTGGTAGTTTTCTGGGCGCCTAAAAAAAATAGTTTATTTTTAAAAAAATGTTATAATAATAATAATTTGATTGATTTTTAAAAAAATTAATTACAGACCTGAACAGTAAGGATACCTTCGCTACTGAGAGACGACGTGACAGCCAAAGGATCGACATCTGGAGGTAACGTATATTTTCGCGAGAATTGTCGCGATATGTATCCAAAGTCATCGGCGCGATCTTCATGTCTGGCGGTCACCACAACAGTGTTTTCCATAGTCTTGACAGTTATCTCTTCGGGTGCAAAGTGTGATACATCGACCATCACTTGAAACTTGTCCACAATAGGCACCACTTCTTGTGATTGCAATTGCATTGGACTTCTGAGTCCACTACTTAGTTGACGACTAAATGTCAAACAAAAGCCATTTTATTTCTGAACAAACAAAGAGTTTTCATTACTAACCCGAAAGGCCTTCGTCTCACATAATAATTGGGTGTCAAAGCCATCGGCGCAAAGAAGTCATCGTCCATAAGATTTTGGCCAAAATGTGATTCAAAGGCTCGGGATGTGTCCCAATCCCAGCGGTTAAAAAACGGCATAACATTGCGCGACATATTTGCAAAAATGAAAAATGACAGAAACGAGAGAGAGTTTGTTAGTTAGTTGTCAACCGTTTTGTCGACACTTTGAGATTCAACAGCTAAATCGTATTATCCTTTTATAGCCAGTTATGTCACACATAATTTCAAGATGTGCTCAACTCTGCCACCAAAATAAAAACTTATAAACGAAATATAACCACGACTTTCATCAATTGATATTACGTTATGTGTTATATTTATTTAAAAGTAATTATTTCTTTTTGTTTAGAAATTATTTTTAAAATTAAAAGTGAATTAAATAAATAAATTTTGTTAATTTATTTAAGATAGTAATTGTCAGAAATTTTTTTTAATGATCACCACTTGAAAACGTGGACCCCCTGTGGACTCACCCAAACACAACCAAACAAAAAAAGCAATTACTTGTGCGCTGTCTTACAGAATATATTCTGTAAATAACATTTGCATTTACTTTGAAAACTCTCAAAATAGACTCTCAATAACTTTGAAGGGTTCATACAAAACGCGTAACTGTGAGCTAATACATGTTTGGATTTTAGCATTTTTTAAGGACTTTATTGATATTATCCATATATTTGACATTAATTGTATGACAATATCTCAGTTTTGTTTGATTAATTGATTAACTGCATTTTGCGACTATTTATTTATACTAAATAAAATAACAACATTTATATTTTTAGTTTAAAACATTTTTCTAAATGAAAAAACAACTTACTTTTTGTATTTTTATTATATTAATATAATACAGTATAAGTTATAATAAAACGTCAAATTTTATTTGATTATATATTTAACTATAAAAAAATTATACAGCATAATAAATGACTATAATTAACACTACATAACTCTAAATATAACTTATATAATAATATGTTTGTAATTGTTTTATAATACTTAATAACACTTTATTTATTTAAGATTTTTGTTGTCAGAATTGGTTCACAAGTATTATAAAATCACAGATTTTTTTATATACAAGAATTGTATGCATTTTCACGAGTTGTTTAACCAATGAATTGGCAATTATTTGAATACCGATACTCTTAGGTCTCCAAAGTCCATATTAATGTAAAACACTGATGTCTTGCGATGATTGTCGACTGACATCATCTGTTTATGTCCGACCACTGTATGCCAATGCGGACCAAACTTGTCATTAATAACTTCACTCAATTGATCGCTTAATTCATGGATAGTCTTTGCATTCCTCACAACTCTTGTCGACAGCTTTTGAATCTCTTGTTTCATATCAGTACTCATTAATGAGTCAATTATTTTTGGAGATAACTTCTGTGCGGTTTTCATCAAATTGTTTGATCTCTCGGTAAACTCATTGCTAATAATGCTACCGATACTACTACTACTACTACTACCACTACTTCTACCCATTTGTCCAAACAGTGAGATGAGTACATCATTATTATTGAGACCATTGACTGCCAACTGCATGGCCACAGAACCGGGATTATTGATAAACGACTGTTCCATGAAAGGTGTCGATGAAAGTATGACATTACTTCTTAAGCCTAACTCTTTCTCCAATTCTTGTCGAATACAATCAGCTGAGTCTTGACTCGTGTTTGTCGTCTCCAATATATCCATCACTATCTCCACTGTTTTATCTCTTTGTTGAGCACTTAATCCTATTATTAATATTTATTTTAAGTTATTTATTTTGACTCTTTTTGATTACTAAATTAAAATTTAATTTATGTTTTAATTTGCATTTATAATACAGTTTATTGATAATAATTTTATATTTATATATAAATTTTATATCTTTATGTAGTAATATTGAATTATATTTTTAAATAAATCTTTGTAAATTCATTTAAATTACATATTGGCATAGATAAAAATAAAATAAATATATATCATTATAAAATAAATATACAGTATCTTATATAAAGTTATATAGTTTGTATAATTAATTAGTATTTTTTACTGTTGACATAAATAAATATTATATTAGTACCGGTACTTATATTAATTTATAAATATTAACAATTCAAAAATATAATATACTATAAAATATTTGGAGTATATTTGTTAAGTTAATATATTTTTATAAAGTTTTAAAATATTTAAAAATATTATTTTAGTAACTAAAAATCTATTTACTGATAATTAAATATCACAGCGCTATTAAAGGCATAAATAATATATTTTCACTTTTAATTTATAGCTTTATTATCATTTTATAAGTATTTTACTATAAATTAAAACAGCAGTATAAAAATTTAAATAAACTTAATGAATAATAATAAACTTAAGTTTTCTAAATTCAATTATCAGTAATAATTTTACCTTTAAAAATTTTAATAATTTTCAAATTATCAATTTTACATAAATTCTAATCACACAAATATAAAATATTAAAAAACAAACTTTAAACAGATTTATTATAAATGTACTAAAATAGTCATTTATTAAATGCAGATTAAATATTTTAATATACTGATGATTAATAATTTTTATATCTGTATATTATATAATAATTATTATTTTTAAGCTTAAACAAATCTATAAATATTATAGATATTTTTAGTCGTTATAATAATATTTATTATAAAATATATAACTTATATAAATTTTTATGAAATATCAAATAACTTATGATATTTATGAATAATTTATATTTTGTGACAAATAATACAAACCATTGGCAAACTTAATGGTGGGTTTCGATGAATTGTCAATCAATTGTTTGGCACTTTTAGCTTTCAAATCAGTATTTTTGCTTCTTTTGTGCTGAACTTTAGGTTTCTTTGGTCCCAATATAGCCTTTTTCATTGCTTTCTGTTTACTTTTAGTCAATGAAGAAGACTTTTTCGGTTTTGCTGTTGTTATTGATAATAAACTTTTTGTTGCTGTGGTTGTCGTCGATGATGAAGATGTTATAGTTTTATTGGATGAGTTCAACAGTTTCTCTGCCGTCATATTTTTCTTCTTGATTTTTTGTCCTGAATTTGAAGACTTTTTTTTAGTGATCTTCTCATTGGAAGCCGAGTCGACAACAATTATAACACTTATTATAATCACAAAACAAAACAGCAGTAAATATTTGTTATTTATCCACATTTTTAATATATAGGTATATAAACAGTATAAAAATGTCACTACAATATAATAGCTATTAAATCTCTAATATCTAGAGAAAAAAATATAATATCATTATATCTTTTTCTCATTAATCACATAATTATTATATAAAAGAAATTTTATTAACTTTTTTGTTTGTTTTTGTTTTATTATTTCTAATCCAAATATTATCGTCACTGTTGAGTAACTACAGTATAATACCAATACATATAATACACACCTTCACACAGTTTGTCTGAAATGAGGACTGACTGACTCTTTCAGAGCAAACTTTCACTCTCTTTCTTCAGACTACCAGTGCGTTTGAAATGAAAAACTTTTTTTAAGTGATTCCCGGTTTGTAATTGAGAGCTGTCTTTCCGTTAGACCGTTATATGGATAGCCTTCGGGAGTGTTACTAATGTTAGCCACGAAATGGATTTATAATAAAATATGTTTTCTCTCTCTATATCTCACTTTTTTTTTGACTCGTTTTACAACTTTAAGTCTATTTTCAAATATGTTTATAATTTTTAACGAGTCATATGTCTTATATAACATAATCTTTTTAAATGAAAATATTGCGGAAAATAACTTTTTTTTGGGTCAAAATCTAAAACTAGTTTTTTCTTTTCAATTTATTTTATTAATTTTATAAAATCTTTGAAAACTCATCATTAAAATTAAGATTTTTATGTTATTGTAAAACTAATCTTTTTTAATATTAAATATAAATCTTTTGTGTTTGTATTATGAAATTTAAGAGTGAAATACAATATATATATATTTGTTAATCAATTTTAACTAAATACATATTTATTGAGAAAAAAATATTTTACAATTATATAATTATTCTATTGACATATATTTTATTATTTATATGTTTATTTTTAATACTTAAAACTTAATTTTGTAAATAAAATAGCTTCTACAAATAATATTGACAATTTTTATAATTTAGTAAATATTATTTATATTTAATTATTTAATTAATTTGCATTGTATAATTGTAAAAATTATTAAAACTATGTTAAATGTTAAAACTTAATACTCTAAGTTGTAGTCTATAACTATTATATAAATTAAAAAACAAAAATTTCAATTGTTATTAATGATGTTATTAAAATATTATATAATTATATGTATAAAATTTTATTGTTAAATAATTAACGATAATTGTTCAATAATATTTTTAATCTAGTAAAAAAATTACTAAATTTTTATTAAATTAACAAAAGTTAATCCACTATTAATTTTATTGATTTATAATTGTTATAAATTTTAAATTCCACTTAAATACTATAAATTATATAATTAATTTTTAAATAAATTTAATTTTCATGATAATTATATAAATAAAAATTGAATAATAATTATGAAATATTTGATTGATTTTATTTTGAATGCTTAGATAATACAATTGTTAAAGTGATTGATTGATTAATGAAAAAAACAAAAAATATATCCAATTTTGATAGCATTTATATTTGTTATTTAATAGATATTCATTTTTATAAAAAATTTAAAAATTACTTTATAAAAATATCAAAACAAGATAAGTTTATAAATATAAAATATATAAAATATTAAAATTAATAATAGAATATTAAACATTATTGTCTATATTTTTATTTGTAATCATATTCAATAACATAACACTGTATTTATTATATCTATTTTCAAATAAGATTACTAATCGTTAATCATTAATATACAGTATATTATATTAACATTAAATAAAACATGGATTAATATTTCCGGAAATATTGTATTGCATCTAAATATTCAAAATGATTGACAGTTTTAATAATAGTGTATATTAAATGTAAATGAGATTTTAATTATGTATAATAAATAATATATTTTGAAACTTTTAAACATTAACTCTTTCTTATAAATGTTTAAACAATTTATACTAAATTTTATATAATATATTACTAAACTAAATTGTATTACATTATAGAGTCTCCATTTGTATTTCTAAATTTTAATTTTATTTGTTATATTTACAAATAATTTTATTTATATCTACATTCAAGTAATTTATTTTTGTATAAAAAATTATAAATAAACTTACTGTATATAAAATTATTACATAAAATAAAGTTTGTTTATTTATACAACACTATCTGAACTATAATTTAAATAAAATTCAATTATAATTTTGAAAACCAACTAATAATGTTTGGTTTTATCGTAACAACACAAATATAAATATAAATTAAAGTTAACAAAATGATAATAAAATTTTCTTATTCATTATTGTAAACAGTTTCTGATTGTTATAACAAATGCGATTAGTTTTACAAGTTTTAACAAATAAAATATGATTACATTATTTTATACAGTCATATAAATTCAATTTAAAATAATTATATTACTATTTTTTTATTAACAACAAAAGTCAATAAAATATATTTATCTCATAATATCCTGACTATAATGTTTTGAATAAAAAAAAATAATTTACGATTATTTAAAATTAGATAATAGTATTAGATATAAATAGTTAGAAAATGCAGCGGAAATGTTATATCTGAGATGTCTTATAATTACTGTCCTGTAGTTCAATGAATTGAACTAATACTGTATTTTATAATAGTATTAATAATAAATCTTATAATTTAGCACTAATTTACACTTTTTAATACAGAATTTAATTTAAATATAATTATATTTATATTATCCATCTATATCTATACTACTATATAATTTGTTCAATGTTTGTGTCATATTTGTGTCACGCAAACAATTACTTTTAATGTGTTGGCTATTATTAATAATTTTAATTTATTAAATAAAAAATTAAAAATACTGTTTATAATAAACTATAAGCTCGTAAGTATTGTTGCACGTGTTTTGAGTTAACTATTGATACACATTTTATTACGTGGAGATCTAACTAGTAATTATTATAATTTAAATAAATTGATAATTTAATAATGTTTGTACAAAATATAAAGGGTGTTCTTTACTTTAGGTCCTACATAGTTATCCCGCGCGACCTAACCTAACCTAAACTAATTAAAACTAAAGAAAAATGATATACAAAAAATAGTTATAGATTTAATAGCGAGACAACAGTGTAGGACATAAAGTAAAGAATATACAATATATTAATTAATACAAATATTCTTCATATTAACTATTATTGATAATAATTCACTTCAATACTATAGCATATAATATAAACAATTAATAACAAAAACATGTATATAATACCGTATATACCGTATGATTTGTAATACAATATTAAAATTAAAAAATATAACATTTACTGTCACAGAAAAATTGTTTATTTAAAATTAATAGTAAATTAAATTCATTTTTAAAATTTCAATAGTATTATAATAAATGACTATATCGTGGATATTGTATGTCTCTCTCAAAACCACATGTATCTAAAAAAAGACAAATATTAAGTTATATAACAATTGCTCCGAAAGTAAACTGCAGTCTATTGCTGGACATTGTTTTAATAGCATTGATAATGAACACAAACCGGACAATAATAATAATGTAATAATAGATTTGTTTTAATTAGATTTGGAGTCTTTTGGATCATATTTGATGTATTTCTTATCATTTGTTTATACAAACGGCGGTCAAAAAAAAAGACACGAACTTTAACCGATCGATTCATTTACACTCAATTAACAATTAACTCATCGATTATCCCAACAAAACCTCAATCGAGTCAATCAACACAAACACGTAACTCATGTGTTGGTTGACTTAAACCACAACCGATGCCATTAATATCGAAACAAACATTTAAATCAATTGATTTCTTACCCGACACTCAACCGACACATTCAACACCAACTCATCTGTTGTTTCAAAGCGTAAAAATACAACTAAAAAATTTTATAATTTGTTTATCGCAAACATTTAATCCATTATTTTTTATTTTTATAAAAAATCAATTACTATTTTTAAATTCTTTAATTAATATTTATACATTTGTAATATTTGTATAATGTTTTGCATATTGTTTCAAAATACATTAAACTTATTTATTTAAATAGTTTATAAACTTTGTTTCCCTAATTTTTAAATATAATTCTTTAATATTTCTAATACATTTGTCTACAAATTATATAATAATTATTATTAACAATCAGTGATTACAATAATTAACTATGTCTTCAATAACAACAAAAAATTAAACACAACAAACCTAAAATATTTATACATAAAGTAATGAAAATATTTTGAGATTTCATATAAGTACAAATTGTTCAAATTTAGTCAATCCTATGTATTGTACTGTACAATACATAGGTTAGAATAGGATTGACTAAATTGAATTTATTTACTAAAATAACACAAATAATTTTCTTATAATAAAATGCACAGTTTGTATAATATGACAAATATTGTATAATAATTCACTATTGTATTATAAAGCACGCGTCAAACAATACTATAATTCATTAATCGCGTCATTAATATATTTAATTGTATGGATTTAATCAATGTATAAATTAACGTACAGTAGATAGTCTATAAATATTAATAATTAGAATAAATTATTGTATAAAATAGTTCGTGAATTATTATCAATTGATTTATATGAGTTACTTACGGTTTAAACAGTTATTTAGATTGCAGTTTATTTAGAGTTAAATGGCAAATGAAAAGAAAAAAGATGGATCAGTTGCGGTGATCACTGACTCAACAAATGACAACAACAATAAAGATCCAAAATCTGTTCGCTGGTCATCAAAAATTGAGTTCATACTGACCTGTCTTAGCTATGTTATCGGCTTCGGTATGTATCTGATCATAAAAATAGGCTTTTTATCAAATAAATCAATGAATAATTTATATTTTAAGGAAATATTTGGAGATTTCCATACATATGTTATAAGAACGGCGGCGGTATGTGTTTCATATAATTAGATGACATCAATAATAATCACAAATTAATTGTTTCATCAATTTTTAGGTGCATTTCTTATACCATATTTTCTGAGTCTGGCTTTTATTGGATATCCAGTGATTGTCTTAGAGATGACTTTAGGACAGTATTCATGTAAATTTAATATTAAAATATTTGTATATAACTTATTAACTTATAAGAAATAAAATTTTAAAAATCTATATTTTTATTGTTTTATAGCTAAAGGAAAAGTCAGTGTCTGGAAGTAAGTATTGATTAGTTATTTAACACATTTTTATTCTAATTATTTTAAATTTCAAACAGATTTATGCCTATCTTTCAGGGCATTGGATATTCAATGTATGTTTAGATAAAATATTACATTTAAAATATAATTATTAGACTTAATTGATTAAACACGCTTTAAAGGTTGATTATGGTAGCGGTTCAGTCGGTCTACTATAATGTATTGGTTGGTTGGTCTCTTCGGTATTTATTTGCCTCCATTACCATCCATGAATTACCGTGGAAGTCATGCAGTAATAAAACTTCATTTAGTTTTTATTATCTATTAATTAATTAAATATATTGAATATATTAATATTAAGATCACTCGTGGAATACTGAGGAATGTAAGGCCGGGTATGTGAACGGCAGTGCTAAGAGTCCCAGTGATGAGTACTTTCACGAGAATGTACTCGATATCAATAAAAACATCAATGATATCAGTCAACTGAATATATCAATGGTTGGGTGTCTGCTTATTGCTTGGACTATCTGTTTTGGTATACTATTCAAAGGTGTCAAAAGTGTGGGAAAAGTATGTGACTAATTAATAATTTTGAAACCAAATATTTTAAATGTTAATTATTTTATTTAATTCATCAAAATAGGTGTCATATTTGACAACTATATTTCCGTACATTTGTCTTATAATATTATTTTTAAGAGGCATAGTAATGGAGGGCGCGTGGAATGGTATCAAATTTTATATAAACCCAGATTTTAGTAAACTATTAACATTAGGCATTTGGGTGGACGCCTGTCAACAAATATTTTTTTCATTGGGCATAGCGTGGGGTACTATCATAACTTTGGCCAGTTATAATAATTTTGATAATCATGTAATTAGAGACGCCACTATTATAGCACTGGGCAATAGGTTCAACAATTTATTATAATATTTATGAAAAAATAAATAATTAATATTTACTTTCTGAAGCTTCACAAGCATTTTCGCCGGTTTTGTTATATTTGCATACATGGGTGCCGTCGCTCATGAACGTGGTGTTAGTGTTGCCGATGTGGCCGTAAAAGGCTCGGGACTGGCATTTATGATGTATCCCGAAGCAGTGGCTATGTTTCCTTGGGGACAGTTATTCTCATTTATTTTCTTTTTTATGCTAATAATGTTGGGATTAGGTTCTCAGACACCAAGTCTTGAAAGTGTATTAACATCTCTTATGGAGTTTAATACGAAAAGTCAAAAATATCGCATTTGGTTATTGGGTTTAGTTTGCTTTATAGGATTCATATGTGGATTAATCTTCTGTAATAGGGTACAGAGTTTGTCATTGTTTTTATTATTACATTATTAATTCATTTTTTAATGCAATTTTAAGGCTGGGATGTATTGGTTTGTAATATTCAATGATTTCGTTGCCTCGACATCAGCAATGTTTGTGGCTTTGGTTGAAGTGGTATCCATTGCATGGGTTTACGGTATCGACAAATTTGCGGATCACATCAAAGAGATGGTCGGACACCATATTAAGCCCAAAATAGTCTGGAAAATAGTTTGGTTATATATTACACCCATAATCTTATTTGTAAGTACAGTATTATACTTACAAATACCTGTCTTACCGTAATTAAAAAGTTCATAAACGTAATATTTAATTTGATACAAAAAAATTAACAAAACAGGTATTACTAATCATAACAATGTTGTCAACTGAAGCGCCTGAATATCGGGGCTATATTTTTCCCAAATGGACGATCATTTTTGGTTGGATTATCATTGTTGCACAGGTTATCCCAATACCGATAGTCAGTGTTTATTATTTATATGTTTGCTATAAAAATAAATCTGTAAGTAATGTATATCTGAATTCATCAAAAAAGTATTTTATTAATTATTTTATGTTTACTGTAATTAGGGAATAAAAGAGGTGTCAAATCCAGATATTGAATGGAAATCTCAAGACTTAAAATCTGATGTAATTTCTCCTCAAACTTAACTCAGTATTATCTTATATTTAATTATTTTTCAATTATATATTAAACTTTTAATTTAGACTAAATTTTATTAGATTCTGTATTTTATATTATAATATAATTTAAAAGACAATTTTTGATCTGATTAAAAGCCAATGTAATTTTAATTTGTTTTTTAAATTAGAATGATTTTCTAATTAATCTTTTGATAATATCTATAAAATGATAGTATTTATACAATAGTAAAATAAAAATAATTATAAAATACTGTAATTAAAAAATTACTATTAGTAAATTTATGTATAAATGATTAGCAAATTAATATAATTTTCGTAACTTATTAGATAATTTATTTTACAGTATATCTACAAGTTAATTGCTATTATTATAATATTAAAAACACATTGTATTACTTGTAGACTAATATGATATGTCTGTCTATTTTTAAATTAATATAATAAGATAGTTGTCTCATAAGTTATATTATATATATTTTTTTATTTTTTTGAGTCAAACAGTATTACAACTTGAAATCACATTTGACTATACAGTCACTGTAAAACAGTAGTGTATAATATGCATAGATTTAAACAATTAGTGTGTAAAATGAGATGAAATATAAGACAATAAGTGTTTATTATTAGAGTATACATTTAAAGTTTTTTTTAATATTTTACTAATGAGCTGTAATTTACATAATATTTTGCTCATTTACAGCCTGTATATGACCTAAATATAGATATACTTTATGAGTGAATCATATAATAATAAGCATATTTACAAAAATATTTAACTCGTTATCAACATTTTGATACTTAACTTTTTTATTTTAAACAAAAAAAGCATACAAATTATAAAATTAAAAATTCAGTAAAACAATTTAACATTATAAAATTTAAAATTATATAAATATTGTTGTTTTATAAATGCTGATATTAATTGCTGTTTTTGTATTGTAAATTAATTCTAACTGATAATGGTTTTAACCGAAATTTTTCATCATAATATTATAATATTTAATATTATACAATAAAATAAGATAATTTAACATTTGTTTTACTGAAAATTATTAGAAATAAATAACTTTTACTTAATTGTTAATCTATTTTTTAAAATTTTTATATTGACTTTAAGATCCCTTTTTAGCACATCGTCTACTTATAAAACTTATAAAAAAATTATTAGAAAGCATTGGTTTTTGTCATTCATTAACACATTTATCACTCAATTGCTTGAACTGTAAGCATGAGTTCAATAACGATATCACTATTGATATCAATAACTTTGATATCACTGACCACAGCATCATTTGAATGTGATATTAGAGGACCAGACTATGTGTTGCCGATCGGACCCGATGTGGTCATCGGTGATGGACTCGTTTGGTTTGTATCAAACAAAAACAAATTGTCAGACAATTGGCAAAAATATAGCAATAAAACTGGTGTTTCAGTCAATGAGACACTAAATGAACAAATATATGAACCGCAGATGACTATGAATGATAGCGTAATGATTATCACATTAATAGATAATACAAGTTCACCAATAATTGGTGTCCAATCAATAATGAATGAGACAAACAATGATAAGACAAATGTAATTGAATTGATGACAAAAAGTGGACCAAAGAATACTAAGAATAAGAAAAAGAAGAGTAAGAATAGACCAAATTATCTGATCGATAGGTCAATCACTTGTTTGATATTAAGATTTGACGCCAAACTTACCGTTAGATACAAGACATACGATGTCAACAAAAGTATTAATGAGAAAACCGTTGAGTTGGCGACCAACTCGTCGGACATAATCAGCAATTGGTACGATTCACACAAAGTGTGCGGAACTCAGAGGAATGAAGTGTACTTCATGTCGGGTGGCGTTCAACTTCATTGGGTAATAATCAAGAATATCAGCCATCATATGGTTTACATTGACATACAATTCAAGACTAAAGTTAAAGATAATGAAATGTTTGTCAACTATTCAAAGTTAGATCAAACCGGAACAGACATGTGGTTTATTCCGTGTTGGCTGGTTGTGGTCATACCCAAGAACCGGTCGCTATGGTGTCCACAAACAATGGTATTTGAGAAGCGAAACGAAAGAAATCAAGTATTCTTTAGTCTCAAATTGAAAGGTCTTTATTTGGATGCCTTTCGCAAAACCAAAGATATCTTACCAACAAAACCCATCTTTCATTGTCCATCATATTTACCACCGAATCAATTATCAAAATCTGATGATCCGATTATCAGCGAATCTATACAACAGACTTCTGGTAATTCATCCGTTGATTGGTTTGCCTCTGATATGATTGCCTTCTGGTTAGTCATTATCTTTTGTTTCGTCTTTATCTTTGCAATAATATGTGTCTCTATTTACGACTATATGTCACAAAAAACATCATAATTGCTTCACTAATCATTTATTTTAAAAATATTAAAATAATTAATCATTTTTTTCAATTTTCATATCATTGACTTTTATTGTATAAAAAGTGTTTTTTTTTTTAAATAAATATCTTATGTCTGAATGCTTTTACTTTTATGTATTGAATATATAATTTTTATACTTAACTGCAAAATAAAATGTGTATATATATTGACTTTTAGTTAATCAGATTATTTATTACTCTATTAATTATATTATAATATAAAGTATATAAAAATAGAGTAAAACTTAAGTCGAAATTAAAAATATACTGTAATTAAAAATTTATAAAAAAAATTGAGATAATATTAAGTTTGCGGAGAAATTGCGTCAGATATTAATTTAAAAATAGACAGACATATCATATTAGTCTACAAGTAATACAATGTGTTTTTAATATTATAATAATAGCAATTAACTTGTAGATATACTGTAAAATAAATTATCTAATAAGTTACGAAAATTATATTAATTTGCTAATCATTTATACATAAATTTACTAATAGTAATTTTTTAATTACAGTATTTTATAATTATTTTTATTTTACTATTGTATAAATACTATCATTTTATAGATATTATCAAAAGATTAATTAGAAAATCATTCTAATTTAAAAAACAAATTAAAATTACATTGGCTTTTAATCAGATCAAAAATTGTCTTTTAAATTATATTATAATATAAAATACAGAATCTAATAAAATTTAGTCTAAATTAAAAGTTTAATATATAATTGAAAAATAATTAAATATAAGATAATACTGAGTTAAGTTTGAGGAGAAATTACATCAGATTTTAAGTCTTGAGATTTCCATAAAATATTTGGATTTGACACCTCTTTTATTCCCTAAATACAGTAAACATAAAATAATTAATAAAATACTTTTTTGATGAATTTAGATATACATTACTTACAGATTTATTTTTATAGCAAACATATAAATAATAAACACTGACTATCGGTATTGGGATAACCTGTGCAACAATGATAATCCAACCAAAAATGATCGTCCATTTGGGAAAAATATAGCCCCGATATTCAGGCGCTTCAGTTGACAACATTGTTATGATTAGTAATACCTGTTTTGTTAATTTTTTTTGTATCAAATTAAATATTACGGTATTTGTAAGTATAATACTGTACTTACAAATAAGATTATGGGTGTAATATATAACCAAACTATTTTCCAGACTATTTTGGGCTTAATATGGTGTCCGACCATCTCTTTGATGTGATCCGCAAATTTGTCGATACCGTAAACCCATGCAATGGATACCACTTCAACCAAAGCCACAAACATTGCTGATGTCGAGGCAACGAAGTCATTGAATATTACAAACCAATACATCCCAGCCTTAAAATTGCATTAAAAAATGAATTACCGATAATAATGTAATAATAAAAATAATGACAAAACACTGTACTCTATTACAGAAGATTAATCCACATATAAATCCTATAAAGCAAACTAAACCCAATAACCAAATGCGATATTTTCGACTTTTCGGGTTAAACTCCATTAGAGCTGATAATACACTTTCAATATTTGGTGTTTGAGAACCTAATCCTAGCATTATTAGCATCAAAAAGAAAATAAATGAGAATAACTGTCCCCAAGGAAACATAGCAACTGCTTCGGGATACATCATAAATGCCAGTCCCGAGCCATTTACGGCTACATCGGCAACACTAACACCACGTTTATGGGCGACGGCACCCATGTATGCAAACATAACAAAACCGGCCCAAATACTTGTGAAGCTTTAATGAAAATATTTTATTATGTTATTCATTTTATTTCATATATTTTTTTAATTAATGGCTAAACCTATTGCCCAGTGCTATAATAGTGGCGTCTCTAATTACATGGTTTTCAAAATCATTATAACTGGCCAAAGTTATGATAGTACCCCACGCTATGCCCAATGAAAAAAATATTTGTTGACAGGCGTCCACCCAAATGCCTAATGTTAACAGTTTACTAAAATCTGGGTTTATATAAAATTTGATACCATTCCACGCGCCCTCCATTACTATGCCTCTTAAAAATAATATTATAAGACAAATGTACGGAAATATAGTTGTCAAATATGACACCTTTTTGATAAATTACAGATAAATATTATATAATCTAAAATATTTGATTTAAAAAAATATCAATTGATTTTATACTTTGCCAACACTTTTGACTCCATTGAATAGTATAAAAAACATAAGATCCAAGCGATAAGCAGACACCCAACCATTGACCAATTCAATTGACTAATGTCATCAATGTTTTCATTGATATCCAGTATTTTCCAGTGGAAGTATTCATCACTGGGACTCTTAGCACTGCCGTTCACATACCCGGCCTTACATTCCTCAGTATTCCACGAGTGATCTTAATATTTAATAATTAAATATATTATTTTATAGATAATAAAAACAAAATCATATGAAGTTTTATTACTGCATGACTTCCACGGTAATTCATTAATAGTAATTGAGGCAAAAAAGTACCGGAAAGACCAACCAATCAATACGTTATAGTAGAGCGCCTGAACCGATACCATAATTAACCTGAAATGTTTATTTGATTAATATTAATAATTTTATTTAAAATATAATATTGATAAAATATCTAAACATACATTGAATAGCCAATGCCCTTAAAGATAGGCATAAATCTGTTTGAAATTTAAAATAATTAAATTTTAAAAAGGTTAAATATTAAATATTTAAATAATACTTACTTCCAGACACTGACTTTTCCTTTAGCTATAAATACAATTAAAATAGCTTAATTTTTAAGTTATAAATTAGATACAAATAACTTTAATATTACATGAATACTGTCCTAAAGTCATCTCTAAGATAATCACTGGATATCCAATAAAAGCCAGACTCAGAAAATACGGTATAAGAAATGCACCTAAAAATTGATGAAACTATTAATTTGCGATTATTATTGATGTCATCAAATTGACTGAAACACATACCGCCGCCGTTTTTATAGCATATGTATGGAAATCTCCAAATATTTCCTTAAAATATAAATTATTCATTGATTTATTTGATAAAAAGCCTATTTTATGATCAGATACATACCGAAGCCGATAACATAGCTAAGACAGGTCAGTATAAACTCAACTTTTGATGACCAGCGGACAGTTTCGGGATTTTTATTGTTTTTGTTATTTGTTAGGTCAGTGGTCACCGCAACAGATCTATCTTTATTTACTTCATTAGCCATTTGACTCTCAATTTAAATATCTGTTTAAATCAAAATCAATTCAATTAATAAATCAAATAATACTAAAATATTTGTGAATTCATGCGCTATTTTAAACAGTAATTTGTTATATTTACAGTAAATAATTAATTGCTATCATATATAGACTAATTATATTTTAATGTAATAATATATTTTAGTTATAATAAAATTTATATAATAATAAGTTATTTTCTAAATTTTTATCAAATTAATGAAACTTATTATAAAGTTATTAGTAATACAAGTGTAATACAAAACTAGAAAATCGGACGTATTTTGTGATCAAAAAAGTATGAGTCGTTTCAATTGAAAGTTGTTTTTATTTTTTCAATAATTGAATTCATAATAACCTATCAATCAATTGATTACTTATATTAAACCACTTTATTAAGTGTCCGCCCGATTATAGGCCACCGAAATGGTTACGCCATTGTTTCCATCTATGACTCCGCGATACGTGGACTCCAATTGGTTTCAAGTGGACAAACCAATGGACGAAGAACTAGAGCTGAGTATTATGGAGAAAGAGCACAACAGCCAACAACAGGACATCGAAACCCGTGACTCGGATCTGATACCATCACAGCCTAATAGTCAAGAATTTGAAGAGGAAGAAGAAGAAGACGATGATAATGAAGATGACGACGACGATGACGATAATGATGACGACGACGATGAGGAAGATTTAGAGGCCGACGATATTCATGGTTTTAATCCCGACTCACCCGTTGGCAATTCACCCAACTTTTAAAGTCATAATCGTTTGATTAATTTAAATGAAAACAATTTATATTTGATTATCAAATCATATAATAATTATATCAATCATTTAAGTCATAATTATCGTAACATTCATTAAACACACTATCATATTGTTGTTTAGTTTGTAATTTCAGTATAAAATATATATTATTTATTAAACATTTGTATAAAAATAAACATTAAATAAAATTTCTATAAAAATCAATTACCGGTATATCGATTGCATGATTGTATCAAATGTCAAAAAATAACTGAAAATATTGATTAAACAGAAATATTATATGAAACCAAAAAAAGTTTATAAAAATAAATAATTTTAGGAAAATTAATGTAAATAATTTCAACTATCAATAGGATTGGGTAAACCATGGATCTGGTCTTCAAGTAATTGCCAAGTCTTTTGCCATAACTTTTGCTGGTATTGTTTGTTCAACGAAAAAGGCGATGATTTGATTATAGCGCAGTCCTCCAGATATTTGCCACCGACTCCCTCCAACTCGGATGATATCGTGGCGTAGATAATGGTTTCGGCGCCTTCTTTAGATGTCTTTACAACAAATCAAATCAACAAAACAAATAAAATACAATACAAATCTAGTTAGCGATAATTTTTTGAGTTCAATATCTGGTAACTGACCCGAAATAAAGCCCTGGCCAGTGCTGGCAACATCTTAACCCACCAAACGTTGGTGTATAGTTCGGTTAAAGCAACGCCAGGATGTAATGAGTTTACAGTAATATATTGGCCAGACATCGGGTGTGTGGCCAACCAATCGTTAAGACTATATGTAAACATAATTTGACACAACTTTGACTGAGCGTATGCGTGAAATGGAGAATAAATATCTTCAGATTGTAGATCATTGATACGGAGGTCACGGGCATAATGTGTCGATGAGCTAACATTAACCACTCGCGATCTTTGACCGCACCGTTTGGCCGATGCTACCATTACCGGCATGAGTGCCCATATGAGCAAACAATGACCCAAATAGTTTACCTCAAAGTGAGACTCGTAGCCATCGTCGGTCACCTTTTTCGGTGCAAACATTATGGCCGCATTGTTCACCAAATAGTGGAGATTTTTTACATCTGAAGAGTGAAATTTATCGACAAATTGTTGAACAGATTTAATAGACAAGAGATCCAATCGCCATATCTCTAGTTTACCGATCTTTTCTTTGCGTGTGTTTTGTTGGTTAACAGTGGCTAATATTGTATTTGTCAATTGATTCAATGTCTTAGGATTAGCCGAACTGGCGATTATGACGTGACAGCCCTTAAGTAATAAAACAATAGCAGCCTCGAGACCAATACCTCGAGAACCACCCGTAATAATGGCCACTTTATTGTCCAATCTCTTCGGTAGATCTGTGTCATCAGTCGACAGATGACGCACTGATGATATTATTTGTGTCTTGCGGTTAAGCTCTTTGAGGACATAAATGGCACCCAAAATGTACAGATGAATGGCTGTCCACATGACATATACGAGCTCTTTGAAGGCGTCCCACGAATCCACTATCGATACCATTGTTGCTTAAATAACAAATAAAAGTTATAAAAAGACAAACAGTTGTTTTGGATCAGTTGACAATCTCTAGTTGATCTCTTGGGTGGCAAAAGGAGGTCGCAAGTGATTAATTGACCCAATGGTTAGCCAATGAATGACACATCACTTGACTGATGGATAACCCACTAAACAAGTGATGAACTTTTGATATACTTTTTTATTAGTATTATTAACACTAATACAAGACTTATACACGGTTTATGAGCTATCGAAAACTCGGACCCTTTTTATGTATATTACATATGTTTTTTGTGTAACTATATCTCTATTAAATAATTATATAATTACATAAATGATGTCGCATTTTTTTAAACAACACATGACAATATGGTATCTTTTATAATTACCAAATGTAGCACAAAAAACATAAGTAACATAAATAAAAAAGTACCGAGTTTGTTCTGAAAATGTTTAGTGTAGACTATAGAGTATAGACTCTATACTATAGACTCAATACATTTAAATCCTAAATATTTTTATTTCTCAAAACATGTATTAATACTACAGTATATCCAATGCATTCAAAACACAAATTATGTTTTCATATTATTATTGTTTTACAGTCAAACTTATTATCGATTGATTTGTTATCTCATATTAATTATAAATATAATGTCATTTATATTATTGCATTTATTAATAAATTATCCCATAATTGTTATTATAAAATCAGATAACATTTTTTATATTATAATTATTACAAATATTGTTTTTGTTTTGTTTAATACAATTTGTCAATTTTATAGTTTTTATTTATATAATACAATAATTTATTTGTTTGTTGCACTTAGAAAATAATATTAACATTTGATTTGTTTTAATAGTTTTAAGTATTTTGGCAATAGATTTGGCGATTAATTTAATATATGTAATAACAAAAAATTTACTAAATAATACTTATTATAAAAATAAATTGTTAGCTAATAAACTAACATTTAAGTGTAAATAATATTAATTATGATACAAATATATACAATACTGAGATTTGACAAAAATATAGTGTAATTTATAAATAAGAAATCAGCTATTTTTTTGTTAAAATATAATAAAAAATCAGATCAACAGAGAAAATAATAGTTAACCTTAAGGTAATCTAATAGCAATTACTCTTCAATATAATTAGTCTTCATATCATTACTTGTTTTATGGTATCTTAATCTTAGTCTTCGGCGATCTTTTCGCGAATCAATAAAACATTTAATGGATATTAAAATAATTATTATCAATACAATTGATATAACAGTTGCAATGGTATAGATATGGAGAATCCAGTCTAAGATACAGTGATTGCTATCATTGAAGTCATCGGTTCTGTTGGTGTAATCAATGTGAATGTAGTCAAAGTCGACGGTAATAACTGATCGATAAAATGCAATTTCATTGACATAAACAATATCTTTATGAGTTGTTTTCCAATTATGTGAACACTCGTAGGATTGGTTGGCTTTTATCTGACCAAACATATAGTTAACATGAGATACCAAACAATTGTTTTCCTGTAATTTTTCTAAGTTATCTGAATCACATCTTTTATAAAAACATTCATTAATTGTTTCTTCTTCATTGCAAATCGCTTCAGTATATTTGATGTCCAAATTAAAAGACAAATCTAGATTTATGTCGAAACCAACTGAAAGACTTGATTTATGATTGGGTGAAATCATTTTGAAATTATTAAACTTATTGTAATGAATGGCCAATAATCGTAAACCGTTGTCCTCTTCGTAATCACATTCTGTTAATCTTGAGTTAGACTTTATTGGATTCAAATCACAGAATGTGCTTCCAATGAATGAATCGTTAATCGGTTTGACCGACACGTGCACCACGAAGTCGGCCAAAAAACAAGTACCATAATTACACCGACTGTAGTCAACGTACTCATTGTTGACCTGTCCAACACAAGAGTCCGAACCGATAAAATAGGGTGAAACCGTATTCACATCCATGTCTTCATCACCTAATACAGGCCACCAACCAATGTTGGCGATGACCATAAGGCACATCAATATATCACATTTGTTGAGTATTGCCCACATATCTGGTCAACAGTGGAGAAAAACTTGTCGACAAAAATATTGATAAATAGTTTTACAATAATTAATAGTTTTATAATACTGTCTTTTATATAGACATTCAAATACTATTCAATTATTAGTAATATTAATACTAAAGTTTTGTCTTTCATTAAATTAGTCACACATTGTGTCTGTATTTTCTGCTTTTCAATAGAGTGTTGCAAACAATTTGTTTGAAACAAATCCAGTATTTCATATGAAAAGTGACACTCAATTCAATGGATAATTGTTTTACAATATGTTTGCAAAATTCATTGCCAAACACATTCAACACGTGATTACACACAATATATCGTATAAATTACTAAAACAACAATTTCCGTAATTTTATAGTCTATTCAATAGTTAATTGATATTTCTGAACAACAAAATAGACAAAAAAAATAAATATTAAATTATATTATTTATGATATGAAAAGCAAACTTATTGGGTGTTTGAAAGCAAATAATAGCCAAAAGGGGTTTAACATCACGTATGCCATYGATATTAACAGTATTAATAATATGACGTTAAAACACCACACACTGTGAATGGCTTTTATTATATGTATTCAATATATTTGAGACCTGTTTTGTGAGACAACTATTTCATTGAATGAATAATTTGATCGCAAAAATTGCTATATTTTTCAAAACTGGTGTCCAAACACACTGTTGTACGCATGCGTCACATATAACACACATTCAATGATTTTTATATTATTGTAAACAAATCCTAAACTTTTGTTTTGTATTTGTCTTTAAATTTATTTATAATTTCCTAACCATTAGTCCCAAATATTTGCGGCGATCTCTTATCTAAATCATGTTTGACTGGCAGTCCGGTCACTGTTCACACACTGGCGATGAAAGCGAAGAAGATCTCAGAGATGATGGTTACTGCAGTCAACCAAAGTTATGTCATCCAGAGTTGATGTCCAAACATGAGTTACAACATGTGTTGCATAAGGTTTGTGTTTATCTGTATAACCATTAGATTTGTTTTTTATATGTCATTATTGTCCATCTCTTCAGAAACATCTAAGTCTGGCCAAAGAGGATGTTCTCAATGGTTACGAGTACTCAAATATGATTGAATTATACAACAAAGTAATCCTACCGTTACCACAAAGACAATATAGTGATAATCGGATGGGTTGTCGTCTGAAAAACAAACAAATTGATTGCAATAAAAACTTTAAAAACAAAAGAAAATGTGAAGAAATTACTAATCATGAAATTAATAGCAAGAAATTGAAAATTAATAATAATAATTATATCGCAAATAATAATACAAATCATCAGACAATTGACTTAAAACAATCACTTCCGCAGTCAAGTGATAATCAAAAGAGACAAAAAATTTCTTGGCCGTAGTTATCATTGCATTATCGCTGAAATTATTTTATTGTAATTCATGACATAACATACTGTTTAGATGTTAATTATTTTTTAATCATATTTTTTTGTTAAATATATATATACAGTATATATTTTTATATATGATATTATAATCAATCATTGTATGAATTGATTTACAATTTGTACACAAAAACAAGTCAAATCATTAATTTAAATTATAAAAAAATTGTTAACTAATCGTTTTTTGTGTTATTTTCAACATTTTTGTCTGATCGTTGTTTGCTATTATCCTCATCGATGATGTATTGCAATAGATCTTGAAGTGATGAGAAATCCGTACGACTAGTATGTACTTCGGGTGTCAGTCGCGGCAAATAAGTGCCCACTTTTTGGCGAAATTCTTGTAACTAATTTTATAATAATAAGATATAAACCATATGTTAAACAACTATTATTATTATTATTATTAGTCAATAAGTGATCAAAACTGACATCATTGACACCGATTGCTTTCCAGACAGTAAAGCATAAGAGTCCAAATCCAGTGCACGCGTAAACTGATCCCCAAAGTAGTGCTCTCATTGCTAATGAACCGCCACTTTCGGTACCAACTGTACGGACAATTGAAATGCCCTACAAATACATTAATTCTATGATACAAATGGTACGAAAAACTATTAAAAATTATACCAAACTTTATCAAAAGCGTTGACATCTTTTTTCTTAGCGCTGGACAAAGCCGTCGAAAAGCCAAACAAAAGACCCGCTCCGGCAACACATGACATGAATGCCATTTCTTTTGGATCAAACAAAGTGATAGATATTCATAATTTAGATAATTGCAAACATTTAATAATAAAATATAAATACCTAAATATTTATTATTTCGTTTGCCATTTGTTTTGTCGACAATTTTATTGTCTAAAGTGTTTGATAAACCATTTATTGTTTCATTTGTTTGTTTGTCTAATTTATCCATTAGATTATCATATTTTAATTGATGTTTAACTAATAAATTTTAATAAATGATTGATACTTTGGACGTAAAAACTTACAGAATATTTAACCAAATTATTAATCATAAAACTTTTTTTTAGAAAAAATATTATTCAATCATTGAATCACATGTTTTAGACACTACTGTATTATGCAATACATTGAATATATTATAAATAAAACAAATAAAATGTTTTAATCAACCAATAGATAGCACTAAAATTAATATAATTATTTAATTGGGTTTTTACATTAATACTACTTGTATTAGCACTCATTATACTCTATATCTATGGATTAGAAATAACAAAATTAAATTATAGTTAAACTAATTTGTTTTTTTTCTTTCAATTATTTTTAAATATTTTATTTATTAAATAAATTATAAAAGACTTTTGAGTCAACCATTGTATGAATTGTTTGTAATGTATATTAAAACCATTGCTTAAGAGTCTATGTTTAAGAACAACAAATAACCTGTTTTTCTATGTTTCGATGTTTAACTAAAATCTATTAACTGTAGTACTATTTAAGCTAACATTTAACACATTTCGATGATTATAACAAATGTATAGTTTATGTTATGTGTGTTTACTAAGACATGTAACCATTAAATTGTTGAACAAAAATACATTACATTACATAAAATAATAATTCAATCAATTGAGAAAAAATAGCGCTAGAGATCCTCATTTTAGTATTATGGGTAATACTAGAGGTCCTGTACTACTACTTGACATTAGTTTACATTTGATATCTATGGTAACTAAATATTTGGTCAACTTTTTTGACACTACTCTTAAATTACGTTATCATATTTATTGCTATTAAGCTATTGTGTAAGCACTAAATATGATAACGTAATTTAAGAGTAGTGTCAAAAAAGTTGACCAAATATTTAGTTACCATAGATATCAAATGTAAACTAATGTCAAGTAGTAGTACAGGACCTCTAGTATTACCCATAATACTAAAATGAGGATCTCTAGCGCTATTTTTTTCTCAATTGATTGAATTATTATTTTATACTGTACATTAAAGTAGAATTTAATTAATACAGTCATACCTGTTATATGTGAAAGTTGTGTCCAAAAATAAAACCCTCAAAAAAATATACATTAAATATAATAATATAATATATTATATGAACAAAACTATTCAAACAATGAGTGTTACCATAGGTTTGCTAATGTATTAAACAATAATAACAACAGCAGTCATAGAGACTCTATAAGATTGCAATGAGTAGTGACTGAGTGAGTGAGTGATTGAATGAATGAATGAGTCAATTGAATACTGTTTTCATTGCTATAAAAATAGAGTATATTTTTAATAATAATAATAATAATAATAATCATTGACTGTAAACATAATGGCAATCAATTGAGTGTTGTTTGATATTATCATATAATATGTTTGGACACCAATTGTTTCGGTGATGTTTTATTGTGACGGCATCGACGGTATTATCAATTGATTGCCAGATATTTATAATATCGTAATAATTATTATTATTTTCAGTGAATTTTATTTATTTATTTTTTTTGAAGATTACAAACAAAAAACACAATTTGTTTAAATGATTTTTACATATCATTTAGTGTCATATTATTTGTTAATACATTTGTTTTTTGTTGTAAATATCAATATTTAGTTTAATTGAATTATAATATTTGTTTTTATTATTTATTTAATTATTTATTATTAATGTATTTTTGGCTCTCAAATGACAACTTAATTGAAATATTTGTTTAAAAAACATTCAAAAATACTCTTAAAATATGATATTTTGTTAACAAAAAGAAAACAAGTTATTCAACAAATATATTGAAATTATTTTATTTGAAAGCATTTGTCAAATGTATTGAATATGTTGTCAATTGTTTGATGTTTTGATGTAATGAAAAGGATGTCATATTAAATGGTGTCACAAATTGATACACACGAGTGCCACATGAGATGTCATTAAAGGATAACTTCATCAACAAAGTAGTGACAATTACCGCAAATTCTGCTAATTTAAAGACTCAATAAAAACCAGTGATAAATATCTCTCAATGTCTTCATCATCGCCTCAGTCGTTGACATCGATTGAGTTAATCACTAGAGAGACAAAGCCGAAGAAGTCATCGGTACACTCGTCAGCCATTAGTCCATCGATGACAGGCGTGTCTTCGTCTATGGATCGGTACGACACTACTCAACATAAGTCGTCGAGTGGTCGCGTGAACGGCCAAATCAAAGTGGTGTCCAAATACAATAAGAAGAAGTGGCATATATTTCCCGGTCGTAATCGCTTTTACTGCGACGGACGCATAGTTATGGCCAAACAAATATCCGTCTTTTACTTTACAATTATTCTTATCCTTATTACTTGTTCTCTATTCTTCATCTTCGAGTACGTAATTAAATAATTAATTTCAAAGTAATAACTAATTAAACACAATTTCATTTGTTTATCGGAATCAGTTGCCCATATCTGGCCACCGAAATAAGTCCAGCGATTCCAGCTGTAGCCGCACTACTATTCTTGTTTGTTTTGTGTACATTATTGAGAACCAGTTTCACAGATCCCGGTATAATACCGCGGGCCACACCCGAGGAGGCAGCAGATACTGAACGACAAATTGGTAATTGAGTTAAACATTGACTAATATATTAGTATTTTGTTTTTTATCTTTCAATTAATCCTTTATGTTTTACACAGAGGTACCCAATGGGTCAAACTCGCCAACATATAGACCTCCTCCGCGTACCAAAGAGATTGTTATCAATAATCAAACGATTAAATTAAAGTATTGTTTTACGTGTAAAATATTTCGACCGCCGCGAGCCTCTCATTGTAGTTTATGCGATAATTGTGTCGGTATGTGTCGGCACAGTGTGTCCGCTTCAGTCATTTGATTTGTATTTTATAAAAAAAAATTAATAATAAAATTTTTTAGAGCGTTTTGACCACCACTGTCCGTGGGTCGGCAACTGTGTGGGCAAAAGAAATTATCGCTATTTTTATATGTTTATCATGTCTTTAGCACTTTTGTGTGTTTTTGTATTCGCTTGTATTATAACTCATCTCATATTATGTATGATTTTATTTATTTTTTTTGTCAATAATTTTTTAAACTCTTATGTTATTATTATTACTATATGTTTGTACTTTTAGTATCAAAAGGCAAGACAATATTGGATGCTATAAAGGCCAGCCCTACCAGTATTGTTGTCGGCATAATATGCTTTTTTAGTGTTTGGTCTATACTGGGTTTGGCCGGATTTCACACTTATTTGACGACTTCCAATCAAACTACTAATGAGGACATTAAGGGCTCGTTTTCCTCGCGACGCAACCATTCTGTGAGAAATCCATTTTCTAGAGGATCTATATATAAGAACTGCTGTTCTATACTTTGCGGTCCCAATACTCCAAGGTTTGTCATAATTAATGCTATAATTATAACCGATAGTATATTTTATATTATTTTATTATTATTTTAGTCTTATCGATAGTCGAAGTCCTATAACAGATGAACAGTATATATCAGCCCAAAGGGCTCGCGATCTCAATAGACAACAGTCATCTCAGCCAAGAAGCAGTCGTGCAGATGTAAATCAAAGCGCATCAATGAATCCTCCACCCAAAACACCTACCGGCGCTTTAGGCACCAAATCTATAGCCGATCAGTACTTTCAACAGCAACAACTGTATCATCAACAGCATCAACACCAATCACCCGCTCCTTATCCGCAACAACAGCATCGTGTGATACAACAACAACAACAACAACATCATCATCACCAACCATCCCAACAACAACAGCAGCCCCAACAGCATCAACATCATCATCACCAACCATATAGACAACAAGCGACGGCTAATATGACTCCCAATGCTAACGGCAACTATAACTCTCTGCCGCGTAATCAACATCACACACAATATGGTACGACTGATGTTGTCAACGATTAACTCGATTTTTAATTTATGTTTTATTTATATTTTAATTTCTTATACTTTTATTAACACTGATTTTTATTAATTTTCACTGTACTGTATTTTAAGCGAGCAATAATTTTTATGCTTATTTTACAATGTAAATAACATCTAATTTATTTATTTATAAATTTTATCTTATATTGATTTTATATTTTATTTTATTTATTTTTATTATTATATTACTTTTTATTAAGTTTTGTATTTTCATTTCATTGCATTTTGTGATTAATATTTTTTTGTCAACAATTTTCATTTCTTTGTGTATTAATTTTAAGCTAATTTTTTCTTAACTCTATTTAGTTATGATTGAAATGTTAATTATGCACTTAATTGAAACATTATCTAACATTCCCTTAATGTACACCTATTTCCCTCTCTCTCTCTCTCTTCTCCAGTATATAGAAGTAATGTTACTTCACATCCCTATCAATAACATAAACTTATGTAACAAATAACTCAAAAAAACCTAAAATCCAGATCTTTTTTGTGAGTATTGTTTCTCTGAAACAAAATATTTGTCAAATATTTAACTATCCATCTAAATGAATGTCTACTAATATAATAATGTTTCGTCAAAAATGATTACATAAACTAATTGATAGCTATTTTTATTAATGAATTTTGAATCGACAGGCAATGCAAACAAATTGAAGCCAAATTACTCGACGTTAAACCGATTGCCATCCTATCATATAATGGATCAATTGTGCGATCAATCGTATGACTCGGATGTCGCAAACAAATCTATACAAAAAGGTGGATCTCTATCAAGAAGTCAACACAATATAAGCTTAGTTTCATATATGAAACAAAGCACTGTCTAAGAGATTTGGGTCAGACAGCAGATTAACGATTGTCTACTACTTAGTGTTTTTTGACATAATTATATCAATTTTTAATAATAAATTTTATTGATATTAGGCTAACAAATAATTATTATATTATATGATATTTAAATTGTTTTATATTCGACAATACAACCAACTAAAAAATTTTTAATGATTTGATATTGTGATCATAACGGGATATATTAATAACTTATACAAATTGTTAGCAAATTATTAAATCATTTGTTATTTATTTTTACAATTGTTTGTATATTATTTTCTATATATATATATGATTCATATACAGTAAATATATAATTATATACATAGACTTTCTGACATAAAATGAGACATTGTTTGTATTTTTTGTGTAATATTTTTAATTGTAATTTGTTTTATCTAAAATTTACGCATAGAATTTATAGAAATTAAAATTGTTAACTATATTGTCATAAAAGCTAATAGACTTAAATAATGTTATATTTTTATTATATAAATAATCTAAAAAATATCATATATTCCAATAATTTACATTACATTGTCTCATTTTATATTGTCAATTAGTCTACATAATATATATATTGAGTGCAATTTTGTTTACTGATATTTCCAATTTTCCACACAATTTGTATACATGAATACTAAGTTTTTAGTTTTATTAATTTTATAAAAAAGTATTTTTTAGCCAATATTAGCGATGTCTTCAATAATAATACTAATAACAACAATTTAATTGTTTTATTAATTTTGCTCACAAGTGTATTATTTTTTACTAATAATTTATCTATATATATACAGTAGGAAAAAATTTAAAACATAATATTCATGTCATTATTATACAGTATAATACCTCATTTTTACTATATGTTATGTTAAATTATTGTATGTATACATCGATTCTCTATTTCCTCCCCCTCCCCAAAAAAAAAACAAACAAATTAGCTATCAATCTGTATATAATTAATGTAACAAATTTATTGTCTGATAATCTATTATTAATATTATTTATATCAACGAAACAGTCTGTGGTTTTAAAGAGAAATTATTTCTAAAAGATTTTTTTTGGACGCAAATTTCTATACTGTTTAAATTTTATCTGTAAATATATATACAGTATATTAAAATTATATAAAAATTTATATATACTTATATAATGTATGTCTATATATATAAATTATAAATAATAGATTTATTATTCTGACTGAAATCTAATGAAAGAAGTATATGTAAAAATCTCAAATAAAACAAAATCAATGCAAAAGTAAAGCTAATTGTTGACAAAATGTGAAATTCAAAAAATTTTCTGTGAAAACATGTTTCGCATGTCAATTGATTAATTATTTTACAATATTATAAAAGAGATATTAATAGTGTTTTTAATATTTCTATCATTTGATCCACACGTGAAAAATATCTACAGTTTTCTGATTCAATGAGAGTGTTATTTAGTTATAACTTATAAGCGATAAATACTGTCATTTTTACCCAATAGTTAGCTATTTATGGTTAGTCTCGAAATAAGTTTATGAAAAATCAGGTTTAAAAGTATTTATAATTAATGCATATTTGAAAAATGCTAAATAAAAAAACAAGATTGTAAACAACTCATTTTGATTTGCTAGCTTAATATAATCAAGTTTAGCAAAAATAAATTTACCCGGATCACATTTGTCAGATGCACTATTTTTTAATATAGTAGCAACTTTAAAATACACACACTGTAGTTGTTATTTAACTAAATTGTTATCAGATTTGATACATATATATATTATTATTATTAAATTATAATTTATTTACAATAAGATAGATTTAGCATAAATATTGATTGCACAACAATTATATAGCCAAACAAAATCCAGTAAACTTTTTAATTAATTTATTATTAGATTAATTGCACATTGAATTGTATTTTTTTGTTTAGTTCAATTTTATTTAATAATATAATTAATCAGATTTATGAATTTATTATAATAGGCTTTTGGATAATTAAAAGTCATTGAAGTGATTAAAAGAAATTGCATATACAAAAAAAATATTATTTAATAAAATGATTAATTTAATTAATATTCAAATTATAAATAATACCAAACATAATAAACTGATTCTATAGTTGTGTTTATAAATTAAATCAAATTTATAATAATATAAAAAATTAAATATAATGACGTCTTATTTTTGTTAATTACAAAAATGAACAATGCTATTTTAAGTGAACTTAAGAAAATTTTCAAAATCTAAGTAAATATATATTCAAAAAAATATTTTTAAGGATGCTGGTTAATTTATAAAATGTTTACATTATAATTATTACATTGATTAGTGTCATGACTCATGATAATAAAATATTTATATTTTTTAAATTATATTATATTTATAATTATTGTTATAAAGCTAAAAAATAGAAGAAAAACTATTATAATGATATAGAAAATGCAAAATTTAAATATTTACTGTATATGAAAAGTTTATTTAAAAACATTTACTGTTTAATTTTCATTAAGCTTAAGTCAGCAACTTTTAAATGTTTGATTTATTAGTAATTAATGATTGTATTAGTTTTTTGACTGTCACTTCATGTGTGTTTATATTTAAAAATTATTTACAAAACTATAAATTACAAGCTAGCGTGAAATATTGGCCATGGACCATTGGTTAATTGTATGTGTGTATGGGGTCAGTACAGGTGATATGTGATCACCCGGAAAATAGTCGTGTGTCCTAAATAACTGAACCGACTGTCCCAATAGAAATTGCAAAATTATATTTATATATATTATTGACATTGATTTAACAATTAGTTTTATTCATTACAAAATAAATGTAATATAATAACTCATATATTTTTTATACATTTCTAAATATTGTAAATTTTATGTTTTTGTTAAATATATGAATAGATTTTCTTTTATTTTTTCTAAAACAGTGTTTTGCATATTTTAATAATACAATTTACAAATTTTATACCATATGGTCCATATCTCACATAAAATGGCTAATACTGTTAATAGCTAATACAAACTATTAATCTGAAATGTCAATAATATTTAATATTAATAAATACAGTATATTATCATTACTAATATGGTATACAATAAATGCGGAATTTAAACGCCAAAAAATCACGTTATGATACTATAAGATACACAGAAAATTTGCTTTTATAAACATACTATAAATACAGTAAACACAAACAAATAGAGAGATTATATATATATATTTGTTGATATAGTTTAGTTGTTTTAGTTGCTTATAATCCGATTTCAACCGGACTCTCACTGTCTGATCGAGTAATTGAAGTAAACTAAAGAGTCGACTGCAAAAATCATTTCATCAAAAATTAACATTAAACTGATGGCAACAATGATATGTTGTGCGCTTCTCATATCTGCTACCTTTACTGGAGAAGCACTTATCCATTTTCATAATGATGTCTATATTTGACTATACAGTACTATACATATGCAGTGAAAAAATACATACATAAAGCATTAGCAATCGATATTTGATTGACAATAAATTGCTTTTATTTATTTTTTTCTTCAAACTATGTATGTGTTTGTGCTATTCATTAACCAGAATATACAGAATCCTTAACTTTTTTGTTGTTTTACTAACGATCGATGTTATTGTTGTATTAGTGAGAGGACTGTTATGTTGTGCTGACACACACACGCATCGGCACAACTGCACCATTGGATCGGTTGCGTAATCATCGGCAACAGAGACTGTGAGAGAGAGAGAGAGAGAGACTTGTGTTACGACATTAGGCAACAAGTATTTTCAATGTCAGACAACTGCAGACATTATATTTGAGGTATAAAATCGTTTATTCAATATAAACATGAGTTCAGTCTCTCAGTGAAAGACTCGATGAATAGATATATATATATATATTTAATAATAATATATAACTTATAAGTTATAACACATAAAGAGAGAGAGAAAAAACTAACAAGTAATAGCTATTGGACTCTCTATTTTAAAATACAAGTGTTTTTTCAATTGAATTTACTGTATAGTAGAGTAACTGTAGTGCTGAATGTGTGCCAAAACTCTATCACATCCACCCTATCATTGTATATATAATAAACGGTATATACTTGTATATAAAATTTATATATAATAATATTATTATTATTATTATTATACTATTAAGCAAATGTTATACTGTATTGCATAGTACTTATTAATGTACCAGTATATATAATAATAATAATATCGTTCACAGTTTTTATTTTTGCTGATTATTCAAAAAAAAATTTATCAATAACTAACACTGACTATATAAAAATAGTAGCATATTTGTGTGTGTATTAGCTATAAATATATATACACTACATATATTTGATTCAAACGTTTAATAATTAAATTTGAGAAAAATAAATATCGATTTATTGTGATTTTGAAATACCAGTGAAACATATTGTACTATAGATTTATACTAGTATTTCCCAATAGTATATATATTGATATATAAACTGTTAACTCACTACAGTAGTTGTTAGTATTGAATATTTTTTATAACTTTTAACACATTTGTTTCAAACATTTATGATATTTATAAAAAAAAAATATATATATATAGACTTGTTACTTTTATCAAATAAGTTATAATAATAATTTTTTTAAATTACAGTTAAAAAATAAAAATAAAACAACTATGGATAATACTAATTTAGTTTTGAACAATAACTGTGTATCCGATGGCAAGCAATACGTGAATCAAAATTGGTTTCAACAACACTTACCCTTCAATAATAAGAAACTATTTGAAAGGTAAGCCAATTGTTGTATCGTAAAAAAACTATTTTACAATTATATTATTTTTAGTATATATATGTCTGTGTGTATGTTTTATTATTCAAATTGAAAAATCAATTATCTACAACAACAACAAAATAAAATATTTAATAGTTCATTAATCAAGTTAAATGTAATTATACACAGTTTATATATATATATATAAACATTAAATAATTAAATTAATGAATATTTCGTGCGAAAAAAATAATTATTTCTATAGTAATTTGAATGCCATTTGAAGACAATTGCATAACTAATACAATGACATATCAAGAATATTCTGTGTCAAGAATTTTGCAATTGTAATGTTTTTATTTGTAATTTGTATAAAAGTTTTTATAAATAATCTGAGAGTGAAATAAACTTTAATAAGAATTATAAAATAAAAGATAATTTTAATATTAATATACTATTAGTAACGCTAATATTATAGTAAAATTTTATTGTAAATTTAATTATTTATTAATAGTATCCGATAATACAATAATGATGATTATTATAATAATATTTTCTATAATTTTATGTTTGACACTTGTTAGACAACCATAATATATTAGAAAATACATTATCTGTTTTTAAAAACAAAATATTCTGTAATTTAATTTCTTATTTATTTATCTATACCTCTATTTTGTCTCTTTTAATTGGTTATCTCTTTCTCTCTCTCTCTCTCTCTCTCTCTMTATATATATATATATATATATATATATATATACTGTGGCAACAATCAATAATTAAATTTTAGCAAAATTAATTAATTTTAATATTACTGTATATTATTAAAGTGTTATCGGTATATATTTTTATGTAATCTATATAGTGTTATATCTGTTGATTTTTAATTTGTTTAATTTTATATTATTTTTACTTTATTCTCAATATTTATAATGTATAGTTGAATGTTTCAAACAATTTAATATATGATTTTCAGCAACATTTGCAAAATACAATTTTTATATGTTTGAACAGCAATTACTGTATAATGAAAATAATAAATACATATAAATATTGAGAATAAATTTTATATTTGTATAAAAACTACATTTATTTATACATTTGTTACTGAAATATCTATTAGTCAAAATTGTTGGAAATTTTATGATTCAGCAGAATTTTTTTAGAAAATTTTTAATTATTATTTATTACAAAATATAATTTGCATTTTTAAACAATATACATATATAACATTTTTCAGTCTTTTATAGTTTTTTGCTGTATTTATTTATAAAAGTTTGTTTTGAAAAATATTACCAAAAAACTAATCACTAAATGCTTATATCAGTGAATCATTAGAGCTTCACATGGCTTTTTTAAATAATAATATTGTTTATTATTATTATTATTAATAATATATTTATAATATCAACAATTTTTATCGTTTCACATGCAATAAATTATACAATATTTTAATCTTTTTATATGTTTTTTGTCCAAACAAAGCGTGTTTTGTAATAAAATTATGTCTAAAGTGAGACTCAAAAAAATTAGTACGATATTTAAGTTCATTTATACTTTAAGATTAGATTGAGATTTTTGTTTATTGATTACATAACTAATATACAGAAAATAGTCATTTATATTTAAATAATATATTTATAAATTAATAACATATCAAATGTTTAATTTTTTTCATATAATTTTAATAATAATAAATATTAATATTAATTGAAACTTGTTTGTCTATTCTATGGCATAATTATAAAAATGTCATCGATAAAATTGTTGTCATTTTAAACTTTTGGCAAAAATACTAGTAATTTGATTAATGGTAATTTTGTTTTGTTTGTTTTTTTATCCTGATATTTTATCCCATTAGGCATATCAATAAAATTTGTATATTAGAAATGTTTGATTAGAAGTATTAAAATTAAAATTAAAAAATTTAGATAAACATTTATTAAAAGCATTTTTATCCATAAATAGTATAACTTCAAACTTTTCAGTCATTTTTTATTGTCTTATAAATTAAAAAAAAAGATTATTAATTTATATTTTTAGTTTTTCCAAAAATTCTATAAATGATAATTATTTTTTTTTAAAGATATAAATTGTCATAAATAGCGAATCAATGAAATCACAATAACTAAATAGATATCAAATGAGTAATTAGTAAAAGATAGCTTTCAATGACAAAAATTACTGTAAACTATTTATAATAAAATACTGTATATTATACCACAAAATAAAAACAACGATTGATTTTTAAGATAAACATTTTATTAAAAACTCCTGAAATATTAATAAAATTCAAGTCTAGTTTATCACAATTTATTGAACTCTTGTTTATTAAAAATTATGATTATTAACTATTTATGTTTTAAAAATGCATTTACTCAATTTGATTAACCCTATTGATAGGCAAGTAATAAATTTATATAATTTTTTTTATTTATTTAATTATTTTTGTTGTTGTTTTATATTTGACCCAAATTTTGTTTATCTTATACTAATGAAATAAATTTTTAAAACTGATTTTTAAAATAGAAATTACATATGCTAATTTTTGTTGTTATACATAAAAACTTATTTGTTATAACTTACAATAAATTATATAATAATATGATATAATAGGTAGGAAAGTATATGATTATTATTAATATTTGAAATTATGATTACATTATTATATATATATCTCATATCTTTAACTTAATAAAAAAAACTTGAGTGGAATGTAATTATAATAAAATAGTTATGAAATTGTATTTATCTACTAAAACATAATATAATATTACTCCATAAGACAGTGTATCATAATATTAATATAATTGTGTTTCAGTACACGTGTCCCACAACTCAAGGATTTTTAATTACAACTATTAAATATTAATAAAAAAAATGTCCGATTTATTTGCCATATTATAACAGCAGAATAATTTAGTTAAAATATATTCAAAGAATATATATAATAATATAACAATTGGATTCAAATGCATACAATCATAGGACGGGATATTTAACCACAAAAAAACTGTTTTCAAAATAACTGTTTTAATAGTTTTATCTAAATTAACGCCAATTTTCAATTACTTTTTCATTACTATCACTAATCAACTTATGTTTCCTTATTTATATATAAAAAAAAAACATTTTAATTAACATATACTCTACTCGTTGTTAAAGGATTGTCTCTACTTTTCCTGTTGTTGTTTGAATCTCTTTCTCCTCTTTACATAGAATTATAAAGAGGAACTGTATCCACACAATAAATCATACCCTTCCCAATCATAGTTATTATTGTCTAACATTCCTGTACTGTATTAGTTACGTTTGAGTATATTTATGTATAGAAACATATTGTTTGCAACATTAGCATAAAGTTTATTCTCTATTATTATTTTCAATAGTAAACAAACATAATGTACTGTATTATCACCAAAAAAAAAGAAAAGATAATAAAATTTTAATTTAATTTGCTATAATAATAATGTTATTATTATTGTTACGTATAATAAACAAAAATAATATCATATTTATAACCACCACAACCAGTATAATATAAGTATGAAAAATAAGCGCAAACACATGTATTTGTAGCAAATTTGTTGGAAAATTACCGAATTTTTCTAATGTTTGTATAGTTTATACGTTATTATATATGTTTGACTAATCTGTGAAGTGTTTTGTTATTGAGTTCAATAATCTAATTAAATATTTGAGTTTAATTAATTAAGTTATCAAAGTTTATTATACAATACTTGTTAGGAAAAAAAGGTTTTCAAAACAAATGTTTTTATTACATATTATATAATAGTCACTAATGAGTTATTAGTTTTAATTGCCACAAATTTGTTATACACAATTTTTTTTATTTTTTCAAATAACCTCTAAAAGGACAAAAATTTCATTATATATATTTTTTGAATGCATGTAAAATAGTTATGTAGATGATAAAAAAAATGAATATTTAGGCTATTAAATAATTTTTAATTGAATTTATTTTATTGTTTGTTTAATTGATAAAATTGCAATGTTTCAGATAAATTTTGTTTATTATTAAAATTGACATAATTTCTAAAAACTTATTTTTGTTATACAATATACACAACAAACAGTATCTAATTATATGTATAAAACTATTGTCTTTAATAATAAAAACTATTTAGAAATCTTTTATTATAATTTTTATTTGATATTAAATATATTTGTTGCATAATATATTATGTAACGGTTTTTCTATTAAATCTAAGTTCACAAAAAACAAATATTGATTCAACAATTTTTTATATGAAAAAATACTATCTAAAATTATATTATATCTATTACAGTAATATATTGTATTTTACTATAATTTATAAATTATTTGTTCATTTTATTATTATTTGTTCATTTTATTATTATTAATAATTAAATTTAATCAAATAATACAGATTATTATAAAATTTTATTATTTACAACAAGAAATTTAAAGAAATTACAATAATAAATATATAAATTATTTATAAAAAAATTTATAAAATAGACATTTATTATTTTGAATTCTAAAATATGTGTTTAATGATAGTAATTATAATTCAAAATTTTTAATTTTTTAAAAGTTTATTATATATTAATACTTATTATTATTTTAAGAATCTATTGTAATCTATTACAATATTTATAAGAAAATAAATAAATTCTTACCATGACATGTACTCTTGATTACAAATAAATTATAATTAATTTTTTTATTATATTAAAATAAATAGCAATTCATTATTTTTCATTGACATCTATCCAAGAGAGAGAGAGAGAGAGAGAGAGAGAGAGAGAGAGAGAGAGTTTGCATTTATACTATATTATACATATAAAGACCGATCAATTGTACGATAATTATGTTTTCAACAAACAAATAAAACAAATAAATAATAATAATATAACATTAATAAAATAAAACTAAAATAAATTTCTTATCAAATAGTAATTAATTTTTTTTGACTTTCCTATTGCATTCAAAAGTTCAAATATCACGCTTTCATATTATAATTTGTAAGCAA